GGATAATATATACACACACACACATACACACACATCAAAAGATGCATATCAAAATGTTTACTTACAGCTGGAAGCATTACTTTATTTGCACCAGCAATGGATAATCTTGTATCTAGTTGATAATTATTAACTCCATTGTGATGATCTTGATAAAAATTAATAGATAATATAAGATCACTGAGAGGGTGTTCTAATGCATTACATACATCTATTCCAATATTAACACATTCGCCCAAATTACATGTTAGCTCGTCTTGAGCTTTTACCATTGCATCATTTATAGTTACTTCTGTAAAACAATTTAATGCAAAAGTATTTTTTACACTTACACTATAAGTAAATTATATAAAATAACATTTAAATATACCCCATTGTAAAGGACTCATTCTAACAAGATCCAGCATATCTTGAGTAAGAGTAATGCCAGAAAGAGTTGCTTTTCCAGTAGATTCGGTACCTAATAATTGCCAACGTAAATCTACTAACGAAGCAATATGCTCGGCACAAATTTTTTGAAGCTCTCCATTATCTCCTCCTCCGTTTAACTAAAAACAAAAGATTAATAAAATAAATAGTAAATAAACAGATAATAAATAAATAAATATAAAAAATAGTACCATGGATAATTTATTAAGTGGACATCTATCCACTGGGACTGGTATTCTACATGGTTCTTTGCCTTCCATGTATATACACTTGCTTTGAGTATAATGTAGCTCCATTTCATGATTTGTCATATTTGTAACGTCCAATACAAGATAAAATTGTGATGACCTAGACATAATTTGTTATAATAAACTATTAGACTGAATGAAAAAAGTATATTTATGATCATTCATTTTACTTACGTTTCTGCTGGTAATACATCCCAATTTGTAATATGTATACTAGGTAACATTTCAACTGTTATAAAAACAGATGAAATTCTACAATAGCCTACTGCTAATCCAGAACCGCCAGAATATTTTATTTTTAATTGTCCTTCAATAATATTTGAATTATGCAATGGCACTGCAAGTTTAGACAATCGTGTACTCGCTAAAGAAGAATGACCAGAATGAGAACTCAAACCAGATCTAAAGGAAGAAGTCAGTTCAGATTGTCTTTTAGTATGATGAGATGGAGAACTTAATCTAGATGGTAATGAACTGTGTCCTGAATGTGACAATAAACTACTCGGTTGACTGAGATAACTACTGCTATTGATATCTGAAAAGTATATACATAAATAAATTAATAAATAGTTGTTCCTTCTTCTTATAACGTGTATAAAAAATATTACCATTTCTAGATACAGGTGCAATAAAGTCTGTGGCAGCATGCAGGTATAATGTAAGACTTGCACTAGTACAAGGTTGTAAGGGCAATTGTGTCATTAAATTTTCATCACTCCATTTAAATATTTTTCCTTCTGTAACTGCATCTAAAGTAGACTGTATTGACAATTCTATCATTTCAATAGGAACTTGGCCTACGTTTGTTATTGTTATAGTACATTCAGCACTGAAAAGAACCGAATAAGATTATACTTTTAGTTTAAAGAAATTTAGATATTTTCATAAAACGAACCTTTCCCCTCCATATAATGATATACTAGCACTCGTAACGATATTTTCACCGGAGCTGAAACTCGCAGTTTGAGGTAAACTCGTGGCAACGTCTAATCTTGGTAAAGCTGGAATTACCTCAATAGTATACTGAGGATGTATCATTCCTTCCATATGCCTTAATCTACAATTGGACTTAACTCCTAATGTGTGTGTACTGAAACCAAGAATTTCTAAATCTCCAATTTCTTTAGGTCTACCAGCTAAAGTAACTGCAATAGGTCCAGATTCAGCAGGAAGCGTAATACTTTCTGGTATTGATTCAAACACAACACCATTAGTAAGAAGTCTCATATTAGATACATGCAATTCAAATGGTAATGGATTTATAAATTGCATTGACACTTCACAGATATCTCCTTCGACCCATAAGTAATCTATAATATAATAAGCTCCATGTAATTAATGATAGCTGGATCATATGTCCAAAGGTATTTGTTCAATGTAAGCTATGAATTACAGTACCCATTTTACTTTTGGACATAGTTTTACGTTCTAATGAACCAAAATTAATAGGTGTAAATAAAAATGGGCCATGATCTTCTTTGACTCGTTCAATCTTTTGCGGCTGCAAATGTGGTTGTAAATTTTTCAAAGAAAAATATTTTGTTTTTGGGATATTTATTAAATTAGCTGGTGGTATGACTGTTCCAGAATCTAAGACCTATTAAAAATAAAAAATATAGTTTTATTATAGAATGTATTTATAGAATACATTTGTTAAACTTACAAGGGGAACAGGAGCACCTTCACATTGTTGAGATACAGTTTGAAGTTGTAAAGCAGTTTCTTTACGTTCAGCAGAAGTTAAATGATTGTACATTGTTTGAAGTAAAAATGTCAAATGTCTTGTAGCTAATGCTGGATTACCCATACGATTTGCAGCAGCAACAAGTTCGTTTATAACATGTATTTGAATAACAGGCCAACCTCTATGTCCATCTACATAAAAAAAATAATTATAATTAAAGAAAAATTTCCAAGAAATAAGAGAAATACATTAATCTACAGTATTTATTACCTGCAGGCATATCGATGGGATCTAAAGATAATTTGAAACCAGAAGTAGCTTGTAACATTAAATTATAACATTGTTGCCAATCTGGGCTAGGATTGTTTTGAGAAACATGACGTGTAGCAGCTAATCGTAAACAAAATGCCGCTTTTCTTACAAAACCAAAACTTGTATATAAATCTGATAATGTAGTAAAACGATCGATCTAAAATAAATATAGGAAAGTATATATATATTTATAGAAAAGTATATATATTCAGTAAAATATTATATAATATATATTATATAAAATATTATATTATATAAAATATTATATATAATTTATAATTAAATTTCAAATTTACAATTTGTAATAAAAAATCTATTAATACCTTTTCTTGTTCACTCAAAGTTAAATTGATAAGTATAACATTGTTTAAGTAAGATGTAGCTTGCAAGGTACAATTCTGTTCTATTGATATCCTTGTTGCTTTAAAGCTAGCTTCTGTTTCAATTATACCCGCATACTGATATTTACTATAATGAACAATGGCTTCACGATATTTTTTAGAAATTTCCTCAGGTAATAAAATATGTGGCATATTTGTTTTTACTACATCAATAGTTGGTGGTGATGGTAATACAGCAACAGCTTGAGAACCTCGTCTAAAAATATATAATTAATAATATATAAATATAATATATAAATAATATATAAATATGAAATTCTAGAAAAAATATAAATATTATAAATTATACATACCTTTGCTTACCTGGACTTCCTTCTTGAAGAGAAGAATTTCTTTGTAATGGAAGATTTCTACACATATTAGGATACAAAACTAAAACAGAAGCAGCACATAATCCTTCATAAGCTGCACCGAGCCATAACCAGTCATTAACAGCTTGTAGTACATTAGCTGCTGAATTATAATGATACAACGCATCAGCTGGGAGCCCAGCTTGAAGGCACAAATCTCCCAAATGTTTTGTCATGCGTCCCACGCATCTTTTTCTATTATTTCTAGATTCAAGATCTAAGCCTATGAAGTCTTTTTTTTCAAATGGTGCTAAAAGAAGAGACACACGATCTACTTTCTCTCTAGATCGTTCTAATCTTTTGGATTCTAAAATCCAAAATAGTGAATGAAGACATTCCACAATATATGTTTCAAGATCAGAACAAGATTCATCTGTATAAAAAACAGCTTGTGTTTTAAAATTGGATGGAGTACTAAATGACTCTGGTGGATCACGAGGATTATTTGATTCTAATGGTCCAAATAGAATGGCTCGAGAATCATACAATGTGGCACTATATTTTACTTTTAAGGTTTCATGAAGTCTGCATAGTTCGTTCAATTCTGTTTGATTATCGTACTTGCCAAATGTAATCAGGCCCAAAAGTCTCCTATGTGTTTGAAATTCTCCCCAGTCATTATTTTCCACAGGATGTTCTTTGACAAATCGAGCAAGTATTTCTCGTGTATTACCAGAGGAGTCTCTTACAGTAAATCTACTCCCTGCCTTGATAATACGTTCAAATAATCTAGAGACTGTTTTTTGTTTTATCTGGGTACCAATCGGTCTTAAAAGTAAAAGCAGTGCCGCGTGATCATGAGCGGTTTGCTCGTAATCAGGGTGAGACATCTTATTGTCGGGCACTGGACTCGACAAAATAACACTAATAGCCGAGCGCATTTATGTGTCACTCAGTATATAATGGTACTTATGTTAAGTACCTTAGGCGGATGTTGACATTGTTCTTTTTATGTAATTGAAATGAGTTCTTATGAAAAACTGTACTCCGAAATTAATATGTACCAGAATCATAATAATATTAGATACTTAATACAGTTTATTAGATGGAACGTATGTGATTGTAAGACACAAGAATGACAAGTATCAATGCATCTTGTTACTGCCATTTTGAAAATAAGAAATGCGCACGCGCAATTATCATGTAATCAGCTGAGCTGAATAAAAAAAAAATAGCATTCGATTTATTCTATTTATATCTTCTAATCTTTTTTCGGTTCTTTTATTAACACATGTTAATAACTTTCATTATCAGTTATAATAAAATTCAAATCAGTTATAAAGCAGGTTAGAATTGAATAATGAAGTGATTGATCATTTAATTTATTATTACTTTTTGCTATAACATTTACAATGTTTACATATTTTTATTTTTATATACGTAACTAAACTGTGAAATTCTTAAAGACCTATTATAAAATGTGGCACAGAAGAGAATAACAATATGCTTATATACCGTATATACGACATTTTTCTATATAAAGTATAGATTCTATATTTAACAAATTTATGTATAATAGAAATAACACCATACTAACATTGGCAATAAAGAAGGGTATTGTAAAAAAATATGTATATCATCATGTAGACATCATTGGTTATTTAAGTTCTCTCACGCAACAGTAACATAATAACATGAGCATATTTCTATATGTAGCTCATATGTAACTATATTAAGCACTAAGCCAATTTAAATTGCTATTTTTATTACATATTTGACTTTCTTTTCTATGAATGTTAATAAAAATAACAATCTTCTAGTAAAAAATATTATTAATAAACATAAATGAATGCAGCATTCCATCTACATTTTAAAATATAAATGTATATAGCGATCTTCATTGCTATTGTATTTTTCATGTTTTAAACATTATATAAACAATAAATACGTAATAAAATAATCAAATTATTCAACAATTACACACATTAAATGAAAGTACTATTATTACATAAAATAAAAATATTGAAATTAAACATTTTTATGTGCCCTATTAATATCTTACCTTCTTGTTTTTTTTATATCTTAAAATCATTCAACATATGCATATATTAATGAGAATTAATATATTATATGTGCTGCATCAGTACTATATAATAAGAAAATTTTGTGCAGTAGTGAAGTATCTATAGAATACTTATCATACATGTTATGATAATAACATATTAAGATTATCTTGATATATGTAGCTTCTCATAAAATATAGAATGTAACCAAAGAGTAGATTTTTTAATTTGAAGGTTGTAGTTCTTCATACACCTGGTACAGAATGATCCATTAATGATTTTAATAAACTGCTTGACATTCTGTAATAAAAATCATAAATTTTAATATTTTCAATAATTTTGTTGGATGTGACAACAAACTGAAATTACATACTTTTTAACCATATGATCATAAATATATGATGGAATTACAGTAACTGTAATAAGATTTCCACCATTTTCTATTTCTGTTGTAATTTGTTTGTCCTTCAACCCAACCACATTCTAAAAAATGATATTGTTAAATTTTATATATATATATATATATTTTTTTTTTTTATCAACAATAATTATATATATATTTTATCAACAATTTTTAACATCATAAAATTATTTTCATTAATCGTAATATAAACAATAGATCCATTAGAGAAAATTATAAACAGAAAGTTACTATACTTTGCCGTTAATCTCTAATATTTGATGATCAATTAATAATCCATTTCGTGCAGCTGAAGAATCTTTTACCAATGCAATTATTTTTCCATTTTTAAATTGAAATCCAATGCAGCCAGAACTATCCTTGTGCATAGTTACAGCACGTTCAAATGGCCTAATGATAAATAGATTAAAAATAAATTTATTAATATAATACATTCGAAAATTTGAAATATAATATATAATAGTAAATTGTAACCAACCTATCACGCACAACAACTCTAATACCATTAACATCAGCATTACGAAATAGTTTGTGCACTTGGTCCATTGTATAACCAGCTATACATTCATCATTAATACTTAAAATTTGATCACCAAAACGCAACCCTGCAAGTGCAGCTGGAGATTCTTGACTCACAAGACATACAAAGATACCATTATTTACTGAATGTACTCTTAGGCCCACTTTTCCATCTTTATCTTTGCATAATATTAACTGAAACAAGCTTATAGTTATTATAACGGTATTAATAGAAGCCATTTTTATTACATTAATGTAAATGATTTCAAAAGATGAATCAGACAGAAGAAAATTTTTAAGTAAAACAAGCCACCCTATATATTACCTCTCTAATTCCATTTGTAACATGTGCTCGTTGCAGACCCAAAGATTCTCCAGAAAGTGGTGCTACCATACCAGTTAATACTCTGGATGTTTCTGCAAGTGTTCCTGTCCTCTAAAATTATAAAACGAAAATTATAAAAGATGAAAATTATAAATTATATAGGCATATATTACAAATTATATATGTAAATATATATTACGACTTACATTTGTTGGGGTAAAAACAGAATATTCAAGTAAATTGTTCGGAATCATCTGATTATTTAACTCCAAACCCATATAATCTCCTAAAGAAGGATATATAGGGCCAGATGGAGAAGGATCATAAGCAGGAGCAGAAGGTGCCACAGGTTCAGGTAAAATAGAAGGTGATGGAGCAAAATATTGGGATTCCGCTTGCATTTGAGCCTATAAGAATAGAGATTCTATAATCAAGAAACATAATATTCATAATAATAATATTCATAAATAAACATAATATTGACTTATATAGTATATTAATTATTAGTAAAGTCAAATTCCTAAAAATTAAATATCTTTCACTTACTTTCATCATATGATCCACCTTCATATCTTCCAGAGTTGGATAGAAAGACATTTTGTATGATTCTGGAATTGTATAATTTCATAAAATAATTAGAAATTGCAGATTACACAAAGATTACTAAAACCATATTGTAAGACAATATGTTTGTTACATCTACAACAATATTTCTGAATAAAATGGTAATAGTGTAAGATTTTATTTAAATTGCTGATAATATAATTTTTAGTTCTATTTTTCCTTAACTTATTTTTTTATGGAATAAAATAGAAAAAAAACACTTTATTATATTTAGTCACGGGATATCCCCATCACAAGAAGTCATATAATGATCCAACGATAATAATTCAAGTATTAATTTGATTAGATTTTATCAACAATTTTTAACATCGTAAAAATATTCAATTTGGAAAAAGTGTACTTACTTGATTAACACTTGTAAATCAAAGATAAACGTTGATATATGTAAAACTTGTAAAGAAGTATAAACTGTCAAAAAACTACTGAACTACAGTGCGTTATTAGTGCGTTATTAGTGCGTCCGATGCGTACGTACTCAGTGAAGCATATAGTCTTTGTATTGACTCACACTCAACTCACACTGTTTCAGAATTTGTGATAACACTTGAATCATATCCAGTGTTGTCAAATTTAAACTTTATCTAATACGTTAGCATCATTAGGTATAACAGATGCATTGATATAGACCACAATTGCATTCATTATTCGATATATAATAAATTTTTAGTATATAATTGATTTTTTCACGCTTTCGGTTCATTACATACAATACAGTGTTCACTGAATGTGCAATTTCTTGAAACACCCTAAAAAAGGTTTATTTTTATACTAAAAGAACTATTAGAAGAATCTGTTCAATTGTTTCTTCCGGAAATGGTATAAGATTTAAAAATATTATAGATTTAAATAGAATTAATAGAATTGTTAACGAGGCCATTTATATAATTATGAGAAAAAAAATAAGGAAAAGATGCAATAAACCGTGAATTCAATAATGGCGCTAGTCGCATGCAGAGACATCTAGATTGTGATTCTATAAATATGAATTTTGCTACTCTATGCAACTTTTTGTTTATTATTTTATTACTATTTCTTTCGATATATTAACGAATAATATAACCTTAAAGTATGAGCACTGATAATCTATTTATTTACATTTTTATATAAAATCCAGACATAAGAATTTTTAAGATAAATTGTTGAAGCAAAGAATGCAGTATTAAAATTATGAGCGGAGGTATAGTGCCTAGTAAATCTACTGTATATATATCAAATTTACCATTTTCATTAACAAATAATGATATACATCAACTTTTACAGAGTTACGGAAAGATAGTGAAGTAAGTCTTCAATATAGTTAGATCTTATGTTTAATATTTATCTATATATTAATATATAACAATTTAATAAAACATAACCTTTTAACGTTCTTACAGAGTAACTATAATGAAAGATAAAATCACACGACGTAGTCGTGGGGTTGCATTTGTATTATTTCTAAAACCAGAAGATGCTTCTTCGTGTGCAAAAGGTCTTAATAATACACAAGTAAATTTTCATCAATTGTATAATATTTATAATTGAATAATATGTAACTATAGTGTTTCAAGTATATATTAATGTATATTTGGTAATGATTTTATTATTATTTTATTATTATTAGATAGGTGGACGTACTATAAGAAGTTCTATAGCAGTTGACAATGGACGTAGCACAGAATTTATACGTCGTAGGGACTATCCAGATAAATCCCAATGTTATGAATGTGGAGAGGAAGGGCATTTATCGTATGCATGTAGTCATAATATGTTGGGACCAAGGGAACCACCACAGAAAAAAGTTAGAATAAGAAAAAAGACTAAAACCTCTGTTACTCATGATACTAGTTATTTTGATAGTGACAGTGATGAAGGCTTAAGGAGGTCAAAAAAATCAAAGAATATTGATAATGATGATACTGACGATAATTGTTCAGAAATTGAAATGGAAACATTAAGTGCAGCTATTAAACAGGAGGTATAATAATGTCTGAAATGTTTCTTTTAATTTTGTATAATATATTAATTTTTTAATATTCCTAAGTATATTTTTTGTACGGTATAGCAACATCTTAGAGAGCTAGAACAATATAAGCATAAGATGGCAACAGGTCAATATGATGAAGAGCATACTGAATCGGTTGTAAGGCGGAAACGATATAAAGAGAATTCATATTTCAGCGATGAAGAGGATATCAGTGAATGAAAATGTAAGAGATTGTACTTGATATTATCATGTAATTATAGAAATCATAAGTTTTATTTATAGAAATCTAATTAAAAATTAGTCCTGTAAATAATATTAAGAAATTTCATTTGAAACCAAAGTAAGGAATGATTGCAGTGAATTTACCAATCATATTTAAAACATTTGGTATATGATAGAATTATATATATACTATATTTCTAATCGTAATAATATTATATACTGTTAAGAACCATTACATTAATTACAATGTAAGTAAATAAAACGTACCATTAGTGATTATTCTTTGAAGGCTAAATGCTGGGTTTAAATACTTCGACAAATTTGCGCATTTATCTTTGCACAGACTTTATATCGGAAAGGCTAGTGAACACAATGTTACAACTTTGAATATGTTTTCGTACATTACATGAATACAATTATGTTTATTCTAAATAAGAGAAAAAAGTGTAGCATGATAACTAAATGGAGGATATCATTGATTCATATTTGTGAAATCATATACATATATATAATATTAAATGTAAAAGTAATTAAGGTCGTCACTATGGCTTCATTAATGGAAAAATATTGTCTTTCGTGGTATGAAATTTCGTGAGAACGAGATACATTTTTTCTTGTCGATATATGTTATCCTTTTTTAACTTTTTGCGAATGATAAGCTAGAAGACAATGTAGCAAGACTGTCATTGGTATTTGTTTTATGACCAGAAAAATATTGAATGCATATATTTGCACGAAGAATATATGTAGGCACTCAAATCAGCTACACTGTTTTGGGAACCAACTGACATTTTTTTAACTTCATATGAATATTGTTTATATGATAAATATAAATAGATATATTTTGTAAATAACTATTATTGGTGACGGTAATAATTGACTACTGGATTATTCGTTTTTTTAATGCACATTATATTATGAAAAGAAAAAATCTATTTAATGAATTAAGTAAAACTTTTAGAAGACCATATCAAACTATACAATTAGATCATAAATTAAATTGTAAAAACGAATTTTGGTAAATGTTACTTTTTCAAAATTGAATTTTTTGCTATAAACTCTTTGAACATGACAAATGTGTTTTTCATCATTGAACACATCTTTCAATATATTCGTCTGTATTCTAAACATTAGTTTTATTATAGAGGCTATTTTAATGTTATTCTCTCGATATGTATAATTATATTGAACATAATTCTTGAAAAAGATACGATACTTGTTATTATAATTTTGTTAATAACACTTTGTGTTTACGAATAATTTATATACTCTTGTTTTGAAAAATATTTATGTGTCCAAGCCTCAAATGTGATTTCTTCAACTAGTTTCAGTAATATTACTGATAATACTTCTTACACAATAATTTAAATTATGTAAATTATTATTATAATATTATAATATTTTCAAAAGAAAATATGTGTATTCAACGCAATAATAAGTTAATCCAGTCATAAGGATCGTTAACTACACACAATGATTGGGAAAATTGAAGGAAGGGAAAGGGTTATGGGCGCAGTATGAAACATTTATCTTTAGTTTTGTACACTGAGACTTCAAATTGACTAGCTCTACGAATGGAAAACATTGATTTTCGGGGGTCTTGTGGCCTGCAGCTGGATACTGGAGAACCCTTCTTTCTAATAATAATCTTTTTAATATGCTACCTAATTGGAAAAGTAAATCAATTGTTATAATAAAGCATTGATAGGCTTGATATACAATTATTTAGAATTGTATAATTTATGAATGTAATATTGCACGGATTCTGATATCTATAGATTCTTATCGATTAAAAATTTAAAGATTTTCTTATTCTACTTATTACTTATACAAATAAATTATTTGTCCTATCTACTAAAAGTAAATATAATTATTGAGGTATATGAGGAAAAAAATAAATAATATCACTATCTACGATTAATAACATAAGAGAGTTCAACAATATCCAGCCTATAACGAGTCACGTTGACCTTCAGCTACTTATGGATGGATTATATGTGTTGGGCCTTCTTGGGCATAAAAATTCTATACGAGCAAGAAATTTTCCATCGTATCTCACCGTTTCTACTTACATTATGCTTATCGGAATTCATTTTCTACGATTGTAAATACAACCACAGTGGATACTTCTGTTGTTTTATTTCTTAATATAAAATAAAAATATTGAGATTATTTTTCAAGCGCTATTATCATTCTAGCATTTATATGATAAAAAGAAAATGATTATAGAAAGAGAACTGTACAAATCGTTTTTCAATTAATTATCCACTGTGAAGACAACCGAAAATCGATTGCGATTAATACTTAAGATCGTCGATCCTATCTTAAGCTTATAATCTGATATTAAACCTAATATTATAGTCTACGCACATTGAGTTTACATTCCATAGTACTTAAACGCAGATCAGGCGAGCCAATTTGAAATAATTTTTAATTATGTATTATTTTCTTCCATGTATACGCGCTTATCGAATTATTGGTGTGATCGATCTTAACGATGTTGAAATAAACATACGGAATATAATTACGTGATCGATATTTAATATAATTATAGATATTAGACTACGTTGTGGTAAAATTGTATCGTGGAATTGTTATAAGAAATCTAATGCGAATCGTTAGTAAAATTTTGATAAGATTATAAGTACCCGTATGTTTCTTTACAAAGTTAAAATTCGCGCGAATATATCTATTCAATATGTTCATATTGCGCTGGTTTGATCTGCGTTTCAATTTTCAACATTGATCATGATCGTTTAATACAAATTTACGTTGAAAACATTCTCTCGCTATATCGAACGGTTCAATATGAACTTTGAGTCAATAAGTATAATATTCGCGATTAATCTTATTACGTATGATCCTAATGTAAAAATTAAAATACTTGACGATTCTGAAATAGAAAAGAATATTTCGTTATAGGAATATCTTTCAAAAATTGTCTCTATGGATACCGCATGTTTATTTCGTCAAGCAAATCAATACACTATGGATATGTTACTGAGCATTATAGAAATCGATGAGTTAATTTAAAAGTATAAAATTTTAGCGTGGATAATAATCAATGAAAATAAAAAGAAACATAATGTAATTTCAATTCTCTACACTAAGTTAAATGCATACATGGTACGTGTGGTTCGTTTATCTATCTATTGATAAGACAAATACAAAAGTCAATTTAGTCGTCGTTATGCTATGCATTTTTTTTGTTTTATTTTTTTTGTATCTAGAATTCGTATCACGAAAGAACAACAAGCATCGAAAAACAGACGTCATAAATTTTCTGTCGATCGATTTCTTTTGAACGACTTTGAGCATGACACAAAAATACTATAGTTAAAAACAGCGATAGATCGTTATGATCGATATCGATTATCGCGTTTTTTTTTTATTTAACGCTCCAATCACACTTTTTGATCGTACGTTTTGTATTAAGTTATTATATATCCATTAATCGTACATCCAAAAATAATTCTGCAAAGTTTACATTTCTTCGTTAAGGAAAATCGTCTCGAGCACTATCAAAATGATATTGGAGAAAAAGGTTTAAAAAAATTCGACATCGATAAGCTCGAATATTTTGTTCTTTTCGATATCGATATAACAGCACGTTATAAAAGACTGTAGGCGTGACGTGGTGATTTTTTTTTTTTAAATAAATACTACATTACGTTTCATTGTAAAAATCTTTGAATTCAATATTCTCTTTCCTGCTAACTAGAAAAATGTTTGCGTAATGCGAAAATTACAAGGACAATGCAAAATTTTTTACATGTAGTATATCCATAGAATTATATTAATAAATTATTATATAATTATATTATTAATAATAATAAATAAGTTAATAAGTTAATACGTTAAAGAGAGCCAATCGATGAACGTTTGGTAACATATATACTTCAAAGATGTACAAATGAAAAAAAAAAACAAGAAGATTTTTCATTGAGCGTGACAAAAATGATTTTGAAGAAAATGACGAAGAACAAAAGCAAGTTAAAGTAAGAGAAACGATTATTGTAAAAAGTTGAGAACGCAGAACTGTCATCGGATCGATAATCGAATTGATCATCGGATCCCCGAGGTATTTCTAAAAAATGTGCGGCGCTAGCTGCAATTTCCAGAGAGAGACAGGTCTAGCAAAGACGGTGACCTGACCCTTTTCTTTACCACCGACTAAGAAGACATATAAAGGCGCAGGTCCGTACGAAGGTGTTCCCGAGTCGTTTCCATCATTAGCTGCGACTTTAGCCCTTTGCCTTTCGGCCCTGGAGGCACTAACAGCTCGTCTCGAGGGTGATCCCAAAGGCAAACTCTTAGGCGGTGCTCTGGGAATCCTTCTGATCTCTTGAAGTTCAAGAAGTTCAGCGAATGTTTGCGAGGCTGACCTGCCAGGTTCATCCTCCAACACGCTATCAGGTGGACTGTTCAACATCTTCGCATATTTTCCGTCTTGTTGTTGTTGTTGCTGTTGTTGTTGATGATGATGATGATGATGATGATGATGATGATGATGATGCTGCTGCTGCTGATAATGACTCCTGCTCTCGTCCAAGCCCAAATAATTCGGATTGCAAAAACCAAATTGGCCTTCACGTATTGTCGTTGAACTGACGATAGCACGTAACTGTTTAGATTTTCTATTTGAAGGCCAATCATCTTCAGCCAAGGGATCACCTGGACTTCTTGTTTCAATACTCGCGTAATCCGACGTTGATTCCTCGCCTTCTTCCAGGTCAGCGAATCTGACTGATGCTGAAGTTGGTATTTTAGACGTAGTCGGTGTCTTTGGAGTTTGAAGGGCTGCCTCGTAAAGATGAGAACTGTAGCTTTCACCTCTGGTTGGTTGACAAGCGTGATGTGTGGAAGAAAAATCTCTGTGGGATTACATCGATCGATTTTATCATTAATTATCTATAACATATTGTCGCAGAAAACTGTACGAACCTCCTTTCTTCCTGAACTTCGATCAGTCTCGAGGTAGGTGGTTCTTTTTTCTCCTCGCTATCGCTCAACTCGTCTGGATCAACGAAAACTAATCTAGCTGCCTCAACAGGTGTTAGTACTGGCGTTGGTAACGTTAAAGCTCGAAAATTTGGCACCGAAATAGGATCTCTGGTCATGCCACTGCCAGTATTATTATTACTATTGCTAGCTTCGGTTGCTTTTGTCGTCGTTTCCGGCGGCTTTTGTCTTCTACGAGCTAAGGTATTGGCACTTCGAGACTTTACCATCCCCATCGAAGGTTCTACGGCTTCTACGTCCACTTGCTGAAACGGATAATACGTGTTCGCCTGCGTACAGGCTCAGTTCATTCATTTAGCCTACGTTCTTGTGTTGCAACACATATTAATGTACATTTACTGCTCGATGTACTTGCTCGATACAAAGTAAATAATTATATATACATTATACATATGTAACAAGTGATTTAAATGACAAAATAAAAATAATCAAAAAGATTACCTCTTGAGGACTTTCTTCATTATCGTCCTGTCCACTAAGTACAGAATAACTACACTTGGTTGGATGACTCAACCTTGACAGATTGATCTGCGACAATTTCGAGATTTCTTTGAGAAAACTAGGCCTCGTAGGTGCTTCATTCGGTGATATTCTATTACTACACAATCTCGTCCTTTGATTTTTTAATCTTGGCTTAGGATTATCGCTACTGGTACCACGAATCAACAACTCGGATACTGCCAGGGCGACACTCTCTGCTCTGGGTTGAGGTTTCGGTCCTGGTACAGATAGTTTCTCCCAAGTTTCCGTACCTGTAATAATGATCGAGAAGTTTGCATATATTCAGACTGTATATATATACAGTGTGAATATATATATATATATATATATATATATGTATATATATATATATATGTATATATATATGTATATATATATATATATATATATGTATATATATATATATATATATATATATATATATATATATGTATCTATCTAAATTATTTCATGTCTTTACCGAAATGAAACCTCCATAATTCATTGGTAGCGAGACCACCGCTCTCTCCACCAAAGATCAACATGCAACTTGGGAGTCTGCAAGCAGCATGACCATGAAGTGGACCCGGTCCAGGCTTATTCTTCAGCATGAACCAGGAAGCGGTATTAACGTCCCATCGCCAGCAATCGCTTCTCTCTTGTAAATCCGTCATACCACCGTAAATATACATAGTATCTCCATGTAAAACGGCTGAGTGTTTGTGTCTCGCAGCTGGACCACTTTCGCTAGATGATAATAGATGCCACGATTCTGTTTCTATAAATTTGAAAAGAAATTAATATTACTTTATTTTATATACTTTAATTTTCTATATATAGTTCGTGAAATATAAAAAAACCTCACCGAAATGGAAAGCCCATAATTCAGGAGAGCTACCACGTAAATCTTGATAACCTCCATAGATGAGCATTTGACCTCGATGGACCAAGGCCGTATGACCTCTTCGACCTCTAGGAACCGCGCAACCTCTTTGAGCTCTGACCTTCCTCCACGTATTCGTCTGAAAATTAATAAACGAATTGCAATTGAGATAATCATACGATTATTTTAACATAAAAATAATGTTTCTCAATTATTTAAAAAGTGAAATCGAAAATTAAACGTCAAAACGATAAATTTGATAAAAATACAAATAAAAATATAAAAATGAAGAAATTTTCTGACGAGCTATTAAAACTAATAAAAAGTATTTCCATCGAATGTCCTTGACCTATGTATAATAGAAATCTTTTGAAAGTATAGAGATCAAAATTGTCACAATTAACAGAGCGAAACATCTATGCTTTTTATTATCGGAATTTTTGTAGAAATTCGTTTATTAAAAATCGAGGATGTGTAATTTTTTTTCCTACTCTCTTTACATAAACCGGTAGGGAACTCTTCAAATGCCCTCGGATTATGAAAGTGGAATGAATGAAGCTCCGCTGTCTGAATTGCGTCTGGGCTTATTTTTGTAATACTGTGCGAGCTACATTAGAAGAGAGTTGTACAATACTATACGTAATTATTGACATTTTTTCTGTCCCTACTCGTATATGGAAAAAATCCTGCGAACTATAAAACAGTATTTTTTCATAACTTGTCATCAATTGTTCTGTTTTCAAAAAGAAATTTAGCGAATATTTTTTGACAAAAGGATTATTATTTTGATTATGAGAAATACAAAAGAATGTCCATAATACTATTGTTCACGATTTTTCTTTTTTTATTTTGCGTATCATCCTCTCTCTTTTTTAAAGAAATACACGTAAGACATCATTACAGCTCGTTACGAAAAGCTTTACACTATGCACGTAAAACATAAATTGTGAAAGGAAAGATACATGGTCTTTTCAGAGTCACCATTAAATTTTTACCCGTATATTTACGCATACACACACACACACACGTATATATATATATATATATATATATATATATATATATACATTCGAATTTAAGAAACATTCGTTAAAGAGCATAGGCACCGAAGAATGTCGAGAATAGTTTCCATAGAAACGACACGGAGCTTCCATGAATATGTAAGCTCGTTCGTGGTCACGATGCGAAAACAAGTTAGTCTTTTGCATTTTATTTCACAAGAAGAATGCGAATGAAGGAATTCGTGCAAGGTCCACAAGGTCTCTGCCACTAGAAGTTTTATTGTATACACATGTACGTCATTAAAAGAAAGAATAAAAAAGAAAAGAAAAGAAAAGAAAGAAATAAATAAAGAAATCGTTACTCAAAGAAATTTATGAATTTTTATCTTAAAACGTTATTATTCATTTTTTTCTTTTTTATTCACTATTCCCTGAGTAAGTAGGACATGCATTATGCTCCATTTTCTACAGAGAGAAAAAAAGAAGCCTTCCTTTTACTTGGTCTAAATTTAGATAGATATACATATGCATCCATGTACATTAAAACCAATAGACGAGAGAAGACGTTGTAAAATTCTTGGCCGTTCATTCTCCTAGAAAATTCGGGCATGCGTGGTAAACTTGTGTTCTTCAAGCGCATCAACAATTCTATTTCTCGGCGAACGAAGGAAACCAGACTTTGGAATAAACGACCGTAGCCGTACTAAATAGAGCGTAGAAATCATTAATGTATGTACAATACTTTTCTCTAAGCTATTTGCGTATCACAAACACGTCAAAGAACACCTTTAAACAGTTGACGACGAGAATAAAAATCGTAAAATTATTTGTAGCTTCTCTTCTCTTTTTTTTTTATCTTCTTTTCAAGGACAAGAAATTTCGATAAAATTATAAGATCGAGATGATCCTAACAAGATTTAAAACATGAGAAGAAAGTACTATTCCCTGGAAAAGTTGTTCTTTACTACTTAAAAGAAAATAAAATGATTTGATTAGAAGAGAGAGAAAGAGAGAAAGGAAGAGAGAGAGAGAAAGGAAGAGAGAGAGAGAAAGGAAGAGAGAGAGAGAGAGAGAAAGGAAGAGAGAGAGAGAGAGAAAGGAAGAGAGAGAGAGAGAAAGGAAGAGAGAGAGAGAGAGAAAGGAAGAGAGAGAGAGAGAGAAAGGAAGAGAGAGAGAGAGAAAGGAAGAGAGAGAGAGAGAGAAAGGAAGAGAGAGAGAGAGAGAAAGGAAGAGAGAGAGAGAGAGAGAGAAAGGAAGAGAGAGAGAGAGAAAGGAAGAGAGAGAGAGAGAGAAAGGAAGAGAGAGAGAGAGAGAAAGGAAGAGAGAGAGAGAGAGAAAGGAAGAGAGAGAGAGAGAGAGAGAAAGGAAGAGAGAGAGAGAGAAAGGAAGAGAGAGAGAGAGAAAGGAAGAGAGAGAGAGAGAGAGAGAAAGGAAGAGAGAGAGAGAGAAAGGAAGAGAGAGAGAGAGAAAGGAAGAGAGAGAGAGAGAGAGAAAGGAAGAGAGAGAGAGAGAAAGGAAGAGAGAGAGAGAGAGAGAAAGGAAGAGAGAGAGAGAGAAAGGAAGAGAGAGAGAGAGAGAGAAAGGAAGAGAGAGAGAGAGAAAGGAAGAGAGAGAGATAGAGAGGAATAGCGGTAGGAAGTTTGAATAAAGTTGACAAAGATATCGTGAGCTTTTTCATTTAAATCGAATATTTCAAGAACGATATGGAAAATTCTTTTCTCTTATATTTTGATCTCCTTAACTCGAGGATGTTTTTCGATTTCTAGGAATACCTTGTAAAATGACGATTGCCTTTAGGGATTTTACTCTATCTCTCCTTACTTTATGTTCATCCCCTCTCTTACTTCCGCTCTTTTGGAAGAAAACGGATGTAGGTAGTTCTTTTGATGTCTAGTGGCAATCACGGGTCTTTTAACCCCAGTCAGTCGGTATGGACCAGCGTAGCAAGAACGAGGAAGTACGTTGAAACGGTTATGCGTGTGTTGAAGAGAGAAAGAGAGAGAGAGAGAGAGAGAGAGAGAGAGAGAGAGAGAGAAAGGACGGAAAGATGAGGAGAGGAAAGGGAATCATAAGGGAGGAGGGTACATAGGCTGTGTAGTATATACTAGGGGGTGCTGAAAGTAATTACGTAACTCAAAGTACGTGCCTAAAGTTGATAGGTCGGTATAGCCACTTTCCTCGTGTTTTTGAGCATCCAGAGTCGATAACGAAAACGATTAAGAAATCGAGCATCTGTAAATTTGATGTTAAATAATTTTTTTTATAATTTTCTACCATCTTTTATATTCGTTTCTTGTAATCTCCATAGTATATCTTGATTTTTTCTCGTTAAACACATAATGTGTATATAAATAAAATTTGGTTAATGTTATACTCGAAGGCGACAGAGCGGATAAATCATATGTATATACGTTCTATTGTCAAGAATATACATATGTATATATCGTTTCTCTGATCCATTGCAAACGATAGTACGTTTTAACGCAGGGCAGAGAGAAAGTGAAAAAAGGGAATGACTCGTGGGTACAAAAAGACCCCTCTTGGTTTAGCCGATTGGGTTTGTCTGGCACGTTCGTAATACGTATTTCAATAATACAACGAGAAAGAGGAGCCGTGAAAGAAATATTTCCGTCCCTGACTATGTTTCAATAATTAAAAGCACGAGTCGTAGATTACCATAGCAACTTGGATAGTACGAAGTATATAGTATATTTATAAGAGAAGATAAAGCACATATATTTAAAAAGAAAATCATCAGATTTATTATCATGAGAAATTTGTTAAACAAGATAAAAACTTTACAAATGCGAGATGTTCAGATGTTCTTAAAATTTTTATCTATCTGATCCAAGGCGGTTTTTATGATCCAAGGCGGTTTTTATGTTCCAAGGCGGATATCACGTTAAAACCAATGGGAGACAAGCTATACATTTCTTATGAAACGTGTGCATCATACGACTGCATGCACACGAGTTAGCTCGATGCTTATCCATTCGATCTAATGTGCTCTTGCCGGTCTTGTTCACTGTACAAGGCTTTAATACGACGGTGTAGATTTTCTGTAAATAATAAAGAGTAAATAATATCTCAAAAATATGTTAAAGCATATATCGTCAAAAAAAAAATTTATACGAAACAGATAATATAAATATTGTTTTTTACGTGCTGACAAGGACGTTTCTTTCTCTGTGCTCTGCATTTTTAATGACGATGCCTTTTGTCTTTCTCAATGAGCTTTCTTAATCAATAGCAACACCGATATATAAAAAAAAAGCGGCTGGCCGGGCGAAGAAAAATGGAGTATAGTGATGAAACAAAAGAGCGGAGTCTGTGAACGCATCGAGTGAAAAGAGATAACTGTGTGGTCGTTCGTTGACGAGGGAAAAGTGCCACTAGCTCATTTATCCCCGCCCTATCTTGTATACCCTCGTGAAACCCACCCCTAGAATATGGCGTCTCCAATTCCTTTCATACAACACACGAACGATCTAATATATTCGCCAGGAATATTCGCGAGAAAGAACCATGGAATATTTCCATTTGCAAGATACTTCAATTCTTGTCTGTGTGTGTGTTTGTAAAATATTTTGAAAATGTTTTAGAAAAAATGCAATCTTATATTACTTTATACAGAATAAGTTTAAGATCAAGCATATATATATATATATATATATATATATATATATATATATGCTTGATCTTAATAATAATTAAGATTAATTATTATTATATAAATTATTATTATAATAAATTAAATAATATATATATATATATATATATATATAAGTCAAGTAGTTAACTAATCAATGTGTATATGGTCATGTGTATGCTGTGTAAGAATTATTTTTATTTTTTTTCATCCATCGATACGTATGTGATTAGTTAACGCGTATGCTTCATAAAAAGTAGTTCTATTTTATTAAAAAATTGTTATATTATTTACTTTTTTTCATTATTTGCTAAATACTTAATTCATCTAAAAATAAGACCAGGGAGAATTTCTCTTTTATTTATGATTATCCTGCAAGAACCACAACGAACTAAACCTTGTAAATAAAACGTATATGCGGTTCTCTGAGGCTTATCAATTTTTAATTACTTCTTACAATCTCAATTCTCAAAAGTACAAAACGGAAGAAAGAGCTGTTGATATCAGCTGTTGCCAAAAATTACCCACGGTTCAAATCGCACTTCACGAATCAGAAATGCTGAGGGAAAGACGAGAAGGTATTAAATATTGGATGAAATTATAACCGCATCTCGTAAGTGGGATCACTCTTCCCATCCAAGAAATCAATTGATATTACTTATCTCATAGCAAACTTGTTTTTATTGCCGTTGATAGTATTTCATGATTAATTTTAATCCATAGAACTATATATATGTCGTTTATTTTGAAAGTTACTTGTTTTTAAATAGAGATATTTAACGTTTGAATCAATTTAAAAACACCGATAACATGATATAATATTTTTCTATTTAGAAAAATGTATAATTTGCTAATCAAATTAATTTAATAAACATTATTTAAAGAATTGGACGTTTTTGGTAGATAAAAAAGGAGAAATGAAAAAAATCTTGAACGGTGTTTTTGAATGAAATCGTATCTACATTCGAATTTATGTATATATGTTAGTATTTTACATATACAATGAAAAATCAAATTGATTTAAGGTATGGTTTACGATCGTTCGTATCTAAATTATAATAGTATTTAACCAGTAATAAAAAGAGTAATCAAAGAATCCGATTACCTCGCATTGAATCACGTTCATTCTAGACATGATTGAAAGCTATTAGTCGGATCGATAAGCTCTTCGGTTTCATGTAAATCAAGCTAACCAATAATAAGTTTAATAAGAATAAAAAAAGGTGTTCTCGTCTGTTATCTTTTATAAGTTTTTTAAACTTTCTTAGAAAATTTGTGGCTTTTCGCGACAACTTGAACGACGTGTCGAGCTTTTTAAAGGCTGAAAATGTCACTACCTTCTGACATCTCTGTTCGTTTGTATCCTACGTCAACGCCCGTCAGGACTACTCATTTGAACCTGACGTTATTCTCCTTGGGGTGATCGATTACTCATAATATATCGATGTGTTTTCTATTCACTAGGAATTCTGCAACGTTAAAAGAAGGATTTAGAAATGATGCTAAGCCAGACTATGTTGATCCTGACAGTGACAAATAACTTCTCTTCTTGATAGGGACGCTTCGAGATGCTGCATGTTATTACTTCCTATTTATAAAAAGCTCTCATTATAAAAGTATTCTGCCAAAAGTTAAAACCCATCTAAGTGACAATGTATCTCAATGATTAACCAAGTCGATGATGATCATTTTGATAGTCTCCTCTTCATCATGCTATCTTTCATTTGAAATGCTTCTATCAATAATGACGATAATATTCCCTCACCGATATGCGCACATAATTCAACCATTTCAACGTAGATCTCAAATATGCAAAGAATGTGGATATTTGCATATCGGCCTTTAAGTTATGCGAACTATTACGTAATACATCAGAAAACGTCAACAATGTGACATTGGGAAAAATGCTAGACGTTTTCCCAAATATTTTCTCTATCTATATTATATAAATCCCTAAATATTTTATAAATATCCTAAGGATACTTAACAGTCATTGTTATATTCTCACTGAAATATTCTTGACACTTGCTTGACATCACAATATATCTGTCAAGTATTTTCAAATATAATAATTATTAGAAAGCCGATCGTACTCGTGTTATTTTATTTTTCAATCCCATCATAAGAACAAAAGCTTTGGTTTTACACCGTCTCTTTTTCTCTCTCTCTTTTTTCTTTCATTCTCCCTTCTTCTTTCTTTATTTTTTCCATTTCCCTTGATAACAACGATTCGCACGGTTGAGTCTCGTATATATACACCAGCAGAGAAAAATTCTTCCTTAACGATCCTTGCTCGTTGCGAAAGAGAGGAGGAAAGAGGAACGAGGGTTGTTCGATGAACGAATGAACGAACGAAAAGAGGGATGATGATGATGCACGAAAAAATACAGGAGAAGAGGAGAAAAGGGGGAAGTGTCGCGCACCCTTGAGAAACCGCTAAATCAATAGGAACGTCATTGAGTACAACGAGTTTTACACGAAAGCGAACCACCCCAAAAGCATATTTCTCTTTTCAAGGGACTAGACGTGAATCCGACTGCGATGGAAACAACAAAAAGAGAGATAGAAAGAGACAAAGAAAGAGAGAAAGAGAGGGAGAGAGAGAGAAAGAGAGACAGGGAGACAGGGTGAACGAAGACGCACTATCAAGACCTCGATATTGGGCCAACGATGGTTTGGTTCGACTTTCCTAGTATACACATAGTTTCTGACAGATAGAACGTTCTGTTCGCTCCCTTCGTGCGAGTGTCAAGAACTCCGTAGGGAGAACAATAAGAACGTGAAACGGGCAACGAGAATTCGTATCGTGTCTCTTAAGAACTTTACTAAGCGATTAGATTTATCCGATTATACGATGTTCGTTATCAATCTGTTACGCGTATATAATCTCTATCTATTTCAAAATAATTTTTTTACGTGATTACAAATTATTTTTTAAGTTATGAATTTTTTTTTCTTTATTATTGACGACTATATATTTCATAATAATTTGAAATACATATTATTAATATAATACATATTATAATTATTATTTAATAATAATTACTTGATTATCATATTATTTTTTTCATTATAACATTTTCTTTTTCTATTGAAAATTACGTATTTCATAATAATTTTTTACTTGATTATTATATTATTTTATGGATTTTATTATATTTTATTTATATTATATTTTTAGTTGTAGCTATATGATAAATTATTATTTTATTTGATTGATAAAGAAAAAAAAAGATTAACAAAGTTAACAAAAAAAGATTAACAAAGTTTAAAGACGCTATATCGACGAGAAAAATGTATCGAGGCGTGATATTATCAATCAATTCTAGAATGGTTACTCAATATTACCCTTCGTCTCGTTTACCGGATCAAGGGTACTGGATCCCTCCCTCGGATAGTTGAAATTGTCGAGAGAGCTTCCTCCAGGCTACTGTAGACTCGTTAAATCGGATCGTACGAGACCTTCACGACTAAATCTTAGTAACGATTTCGATACAAGCAGACTCGACTATCAAATGCAATTTCGTATCTAATTCAACGAGATTAGTTATTTGATCATCGATGATTCAAATTCACGGTTAAAAGTATGATAAAGCATAGTTTTTAAAACTTTTAATACAAAAGGTTTCGGAATTTTGTTTAACTTAATTGGAATTATAAAAACTTTCTTAATAGCTCTTAGTCGTTCTTATGTAATTAAATTTCTGAAGTTTAAAGAAGTTTGGAATGTATCTCAATTATCGTAATTTAAAGAGAATCTAGAGTGAGAAAAATCATTTTTCTTAGTAATACAATTTAAATTATTTATCAGAAGATTATATAAATATTTTTCAAGAGTATCACACACTATAAAGGGGAAAATTATCTTGAATTTTCTTAAAAAGTTCATTAGTAAAAAGAAAGAGAAACATTAAATAAATAAAATTTTGTGGCACACATACCGCAATGCGTCTTTTACATACGCAAAACTAAATTCATCTAAACACATGTATAGATATATTCTAAGTTGTTTCAAATTCTTCGAAGATTTTTTTGTTTGATCCTGTAATTGCATTCGGAAAAGATGACATTTTTCGTTTCGTTTACACAGATAATTTTTTAATTTAATTGAAAAAAATTTGTTTATCGTAACATTGAATTTATGATACGTTTTTCTTGAAAGTTTGATGTGGTCAAATATGAACACATCAAACTATGCCGTGGATTACGTTTTACCTTGACATTGTAAACCCAAAGTGGTGTTTCCGTGCCTGCGGAAAAGCCTAGTTCTCCACCGAATACGTAAAGGCAGTCCTTGTATGCTACCGCGCTGTGTTCTTGAAGAGCCGGCGGCCTTTCTCCCCCAGGATGTAATTCTTCCCACTTGCTTTCAGCTGCAAAATAAAATAAGCAAAACGAAAAATTAATTTGTTTGTTTTAACCGTTCTTTCCAACATTTTATATTCACATGTTTTGAAGTCAAAATTATATTAATGTAACTATGTAAAAAATATGTATAATACAAATAGAAAAAGAAAAAAAGAAAAAAAGAAAAATAAGTCAATATTTAATATGTAAGAAGTTACTATGCAAAAAGATGAACGGAAGGAATGCGGGTCTAATTGATCAGAATAGAAGGAAACGCCTCCTCTCACACGTGTTTTCGAGTCTATCGTGCTATTTGCGGAGACGGTCACACGTATTAATTAGATCGAGTGACAATAGTGACGTACACAATGAATAAGATGTATCGAGAACGAATGAGATAAAGCGAGCAATGAATTGAACATCAAACCATTGGCGTATTTCCAGATCATTGACACAATGAAACAATATTCTTTCTTCTCTTTGCTCTCAGTATAAACTCTAAAAACAAGAATTCTATTACTCTGTCAGAGAGTATTGTAAGAGCCGAATAGTAGGGATTATGGAAGTGTCAAAGGTGCGGATAGGATGGACGTCCAGAATATTCACTTTGCCCTTGTGTCATCCCGTGAGACTTCTTTCCAGCTCTGTAAAGTACATATTTATTTTGTGACAAGAACTTTAATTTTTTACTTTCACCGCAAAACATTAAATGTCTTTGTATGTATTCCATTGGCCTAATTTTTTAGAACAAAGAATACCAAAAGACATTAAAAAATATTTCTAGGGAGAATGAAAGAGAGAGAGAGAGAGAGAGAGAGAGAGAGAGAGGAGAGAGAGAGAGAGGAGAGAGAGAGAAAGAGAAGAGTGAGAGAGAGAGAGAGAGAGGAGAGAGAGAGAAAGAGAAGAGTGAGAGAGAGAGAGAGAGAGGAGAGAGAGAGAAAGAGAAGAGTGAGAGAGAGAGAGAGAGAGAGGAGAGAGAGAGAAAGAGAAGAGTGAGAGAGAGAGAGAGAGAGGAGAGAGAGAGAAAGAGAAGAGTGAGAGAGAGAGAGAGAGAGAGAGAGAGAGAAGAAAAGCAAATATTTTTGGTGTTTCAAGAAGAATAGAAACATTCTTCTCTTTTTCGAAATCTTTGAAATTCACAACTAAATCCTTTTTCGGTCTTAAATCACATCCTTACCCGCCCTTGCAATCTGGTACTCTGAAATAAATTCTCAGTATAGTGAGCACTCCCATATGACTGGAGAAAGAGAGAAAGTGAGAGAGATTGCAAGGAGAGGGTTGTTCGTGTCCCGAGGCTTTATATATAAGTAAGGGGATGAACAAGCAAGGAAAAAATGACGAAATGTATAGAAAAGAGATACCAAAGAGATTTAGAAAAGAAACATTAAACTTAATGTTTACGGATATTTAGAGTGATATGTTTCATTTGAATCTTATTTTAAAGAATAAAAAAATAAGAAAAATATATAGATACTACCGAAAGGAATATATCTCGAGCTTGAACTTTCTTCGTTTATTACGTCACCAAATAAAAAAGTCACTATAATCCGATGAATTTAATAGTCGCCAGAGAGTACAAAAACTCTTGTCTTTGTCACGATTGACACATCTGGCACCGCATCGTATTGCTTAATTTGGCAGCATCGCGATGACTTTTTTTTCATTTTCATCGAAGAGTAGAAAAACTCAGCTATTTTATGAAACGTGCCCGAGAACAAAGCCTAGAAAATTTACGTAAGAGCCATAACGTGCTTTCTGAAGTGTATGCGGTTCTCGTAGAATGCCACTAGAGATGCCCGACATTGATTACGTACACGTGTCGTATCTAGTTGGTTATAGAACAATACCTTGTCTTACTTGGAAAATGATCTTTTTATGCTAAAACGGTGAATAAATTTGATTATTTTTCCGATGAAATTATATATGTGTAATCATAAAATGTTCGATCTCTTTTTTTTCTTTCTTTCTTCCCTTTTTTTTTTGAGAACTAACTAGAAAAGATTTGAAAACTTTTTAATATCAATTATACATTAAATATTAGACATTTTCTAATTAATCAATTTGCTGTTTTATATCTGATTTCAAAGTCCTTGAATTTTCTAGAAAAGTATGTGCTCAAAGTTAAGTAAGAATACGTACTCCAGATCAAAGACATCACGGTCGATTGATATTCCTCTCGAAAAAAGAGATCGAGATGAATCAAAGCGAAAGTGCTAAGATTGCAGATTCATCATACTTTATAATTTCCATCTTGATATGTATATATCTTAGCTAGATACCTACGTACTATATATAACACACACACATACACATATACACATACGTACATACACACACATTTAACCGACAGCCATGAGAAAGAAGAGACTACAGTGAATAGTTAGATCGAAATCCATGTTACAAGGGACGTTTGTCCCTGGTATTGGTCGCCACCAACCAACCCCTTTCAACTTTTCTACCCTTGCAAAGGTGAGGGTGAAACAAAAACGTTCCATGGATGAAGCACTCTCGTGGTTCTCGGAGTTATCACAATATTTTTACACGATCGAGTGTATCTACAACGCTATGCTTTTAAAACGTGCTAGGCGAAGGGATGGAAAAAACGTTCGTTGCCTGACGCAACTCCTTAATATTACTTGGCCTCGAGAGACGAACTGCCATGGTCCAATTCTTTTGATGCTGCTTTAATATTCACCCAAACCCTGCAGTCGAACAATCCCCTTCTGATTAACAGAGAGTCATTCGTTCGTCCACGTTCGCCTGAAACGTATTTGTTCCCTTCAAAACCTTACATCGCATTGACTTTGATAATGCTGTAAACGTTAACTCGCTTTGCATCCATATTCACAAGTAAAAGAGAATTTTGTGAATCGATCTCCAGAGAAAGCTCCCTAAGTTACTGTTTTTTATTATAATAAATTAAATTACTAAGCAACTATTTTTAATATAAAAAAAAAAACATCTCAACAAGTGAAAATACATTTTTTCTATTTATTTGAAACGTTGAAATTTTTTTCCGGGATTCACATTGAATTTTATATTAGAATTACAATGAATGCGTTCATGCGTATTTGATCTCGAGCATCTCCTTCAGCATATTTTTATCTTCCTCTTGCTCTCATTTGCGTTGCAGTCGAATATTTGTCTCGTTTCCGTATTGATAAATATTTACGTAAATAAAAAAATCTTACAAAATACGGAAGCACTCATCTAACGGACATGCTATATAAAATCTCCTTGTACTACCTGCTTCAGAGTCAAGCGCATCAACGTTCCACTGAGCTTGAAATTTAGTGTAACTGTGTGCGTGCCGTGTATAGTCCATACAACCTCACACTCTATCTAGCTACCAATATTGACCGAATGGACCCGCCGGGAATACATTTAGAGCTCTGGTGGTCCGATAACTGGTGGCTCGTGCTTTATCCAAGCCTAGCAGAAGTTTGAACTTTCCAAAGATTATAACTTTCATAAAGAATAGTACGTTTTCGTGCTGTGAATTTAACAGGAGTCATCAAAATGTGTAGATTAGTTAGAAAAATTTCTAAATATGTTTGAGTAAAAAGTAAAATATGTAAATAAACAAATTTATATACGACGTATTTGTAATTATACTATATAATTGGTATATTTTTCCATATATATTTACATATGCATATATCTACTTGTTGATTATAATGACGCAAAGAAATTGAATAAATCTGGAAATGGAATAAATTTAAATGTCGACTGAGAGAAGAGAGAACAGATAACGCATACGATGCATAGAAACGAGAAACTCGATGTCACGAACACCGACCGCTGATTATTGCGTGAGGGTGCAATTAATTCACCTATGTCTGATCTCCGTGGAAACAGCCGTAATTGTGGAGTATCGGCGGCAGATTTACTTGATATACGTGGGCTTTAATAATGGCGCATTATTGATCAGACTGAACCCCGTTCAAATTCCATCGCGCACCCCTCGTCGTCATGGAATGAGAAGATGGGGTTTGTTGGTCAGATACGGTGCTCGCGTATTGTAACGGAGAGTACTTCGAAACATCGACCCATCGGCACCCTTCATAATTATAGAATTTTTCAAACTCTTGTAAATATCTCATCTCATGAAATTTATGCCGTTTTATAACATAATTTTAAAGAATCTATGTCTTATTAATAAACATACATTAATATACAAATTACTAAATATTAATAATAAATTTTCATTTTAATACGTTTTATGATTAATGTTATTACGTTATCTATTTTTTTGTTCCCCATTTTGAACACATTTTAACATTGATGAAATATTTAAACTTTGTATAAAAATTTAACAAAATTTTATTTATTTATTTACCGAGACTATACCGCCAAAGATCTTTGAGTGGTAAATTTCCATTTCGACCTCCAAGGAGATATACGTGTCCTGCAAGTAACGCCGCACTGTGTTTACTTCTTGAAGGTGGTGCAGGTCCATTTTCCGTGCCAGCTGCTGTGACCGAGCTCCACATTTTTTCCTAGAACAAAATATTATTTTTTTAAATAATTATCTCAAAAAGAGTATTCACTTGTAAGGTAGAAACAAATATTAATTTCAGAAAAATAATTTACATCAATGTCATCGTATTTACGAAAAAAAAGGACATAAAATATACGAAATCTTGTAATCTTACTGTTAGATCAAAAAGAGAAGTGAATTAAATGGTAATCTAATGGAGATAAATGTCTACCTAAACGTCCTCTTCCATCTCTAGTCGACCTTATCTAATTCTCTTCCGTTTCAGTATTTTCCAACTATCTTCCAAGTTAGTGGTATCGTAAATTAACGGCTTTTAAATTTGTTATAGAACGACGCCTGCTACCTAAGTTCATAAATTATTTCTTATCGGGATGACTTTGCAACGATAGTACAGATGTCGATGGTTCTACTTCGAAGAAAATGTATTTAGAAGCGATAAAAGTCATAGTATATATGCATTATTACGTAACGTAAAATCATACATTAATGTATTTTAAGTCACAGTGATTTTATTTGACAATTTCGGGGAGACATTGTTATCCCACTGATAGAAAAGACAATAGATTATTTTGATTAAAGAAGCTCTATCAATCGTAAAGAAGATAAGTAAATAACGTTTACGATTATGCAACGATTTTTTATTAGGTAAACTGTGTTTAAACTTTCTCTCTCTATTTCTTTCTTTCTTTTTTCTTTCTGTTTCTCTCTGTCTTTTTCTCTTCTCTTCAATTTTTCTTTTAGTCCATGTTTCTGTTTGTAAGTGTGCGGATACTAAGTAACGTGAGAGAGTCGCGTTTTTCGGCCTTGAGGGTGCATAATGTGAAACTAAATATTTGCACAGTCGCCACCGATTATTGATCGGCCTTAGCAATGTGTTTATCCGTATCCTGAACAAATATCTTCCAACGATCCTCTTTCTTGATGCAAAAACCATGGGGGAAACGTAGAAAAAGAAAAGAGAAAGAAGAAATTACGGAAGCGATTAAGCGTGAAATGAAATATCTTGGAGATTGTTATTAACTTGATTTAACGAACATCCAATCGACTTTCAGCATTGAAATTTACAATTGGACACGGAAATTAATCGTGTTATGATTTCACTATACTGAGACGCGTTTAAATCTGCGATACTAAAAAGTAGATTTTTTTTTTTTATTTCAACGAATGCATTATTCAGATACGTGATACAGATAATTATATCTACAAGAGATGGTTGATTCTAGATAGGATCTTGGCCAGACTTCTGACCGTTTGCCTTTCCTTTCTCGATTCCGATCCTACTTAATTCACCCTCTTCTTCTTCGACCATTTCTTTCGGTCGGATGAAAGAGAAGATGGATATACCCTAAAGGGTGCCATCGTCACGACTCCTATCACGACTTACCACTAGGTAGGGAGAATTCCCTGAATGTGGTTCGCTCAAACGAAATATATCTCTCTTTCCTCCATTCCTTCATGTTTGTATCGAATGCCTTTCGACGATACGAAGCTCGTGAACTTCACTTGCAGGCTAATTAATATCGACGAAGACATCGTTAGAGCACACTAATGGTTCGAATAATTGAAAACGATCGTTTCTCATTACTACTGAGTAATATTTCCCTTCGATATCGACGTTAATTTTCAAACACTTAACCAATAGATGTAACTTTAATTAACCCCATGAAAATGCACTTAAAAGAACCAGAGAAAAAAATATATATATGTACTATATTTTCATGCACCGACATCGAATTTCTGAAGGGTGCGGCAAGGGAAAATGACGACCATCATTAATTCCCCTTCCCCTTTATATCCTACCTACACACTTCCATAGGTAACACATTTGTCTCGAGATAATCGACTTTCTCGTCTCGAGCACGTGACTTCGATTTATCAAAGCTCTCCGTGTTAGGTATCCGATTTTTATTTCAGCCAGCAAACGAGCTTCGTTTTTCATAGAAATTACGCTATTATTTCAACCGTCGAAGACCGTTGGTATAATAGACGATGTTTTTCTTTTTCTTTTTCTTTTTTCTTTCTCGTTGCTATTATAAGGAATAAGAGTATAATAGTAATAAAAGATTATATAATAATTATGTTGCATAATTGTAACGATAAGCAAAATAAAAAATCGAATATTTAATACGAAAAAGCTTCTTACCATTGTGCTTCATCATCCAATTATTCGATTAACTCAGTGGGATAGAAGATATATAGATAGATAGTAAAAAAAGAGTGAGTGTGTATGAGAAAGAGAGAGAGAGAGAGAGAGAGAGATAGAGAGAGAGAGAGAGAGAGAGAGAGGGAGAGAGAGAGAGAGAGAGAGAGAGAGAGAGAGAGAGAGAGGGAGAGAGAGAGAGAGAGACACGAGACTCGATGGACCTTCCATTGGATCGGATTCATTTCTATGTCTTCACGCATCCGTACATTCACGAAATTTAATTACAGTGCCACACCGAAATCGAATTTCGAACAAACGAACGCATCCAACGCAACGATCCTACCCGAAAGATTTCTTCCTCTTTCAGCATATACGCAGGTATGTACGCAAATATACGTGATTAGAATCGCAGCGTATTTTGAAAATATAGAACCCTACTGCTTCTGGTATATATGAAATACGATTTTCAACATATGGAATTCGTTCGTGACGAAGGGGGAAAGAACCGACGAGGGTTTGGTGAAACGAGTTAGCAAACGCCACGCCAATGTGATAGGAACGAACCAAAGGAGACAGATAGAGAAAGAGAGAAAGAGAGAGAGAGAGAAAGAGAGAGAGAGAAAGACAGAGAGAGAGAAGCAAATACACGATCCACGTTTCCCTGCGGTTTACGTGCGATCTACAGAAATTCGAAATAAACGTCGTACCTCCGTTTCACCAGTCCCGCTGAGAGTTTTACAATGAGAAACTCCCTAATGTATATACACATAAACGTTAACCGTGAAAACGTAGGTTACCTTCATCGAATCTTTTCTAAAGATGGTGCTTTAATTCGTTTTCAATTCATACCTCGTAATATAGTCATTAATTTACATGTTAATTAGATAAAATTAGTGACGAGATGGAGAAATGTTATATCTATCTATTTATACAATAAGTAAATTGATATATTTTCATTTTATAACCATCTGTTTGAGTGTAATAATAATAAAAAATTAATAAAATAATAATAATGATAATAATAATATTCGATTGGTAATTAATTAATGTTGAAATTTTCAATAAAGTAGTAAATTATATTATTATTTATTTAGATATAAAATACTGAAAAAATTTCGATATTATTCATTGATTAATCCACTATATTACAATAACGATAATTAGTAATAACATAAAATAACAGTAATAATAATGATACTATAGATATAATATTGTATAAGTAGAAAAATCCTGTATTGATCGAACATAAGCAAAACATCGCAAAAAAACTTATGTAGACGATAAACAGAAAGAAATATTAGGTATAATATATGTAAATCTTAGAAGTCTCTTTCTCTCTCGCTTTGTCTCTTTCTCTTTTTTTCTCTTTCTCTCTTTTCTGTACAAAAATACCTAAAAGAAAGATCTACATGACTATCTAAGAAAGAGCAAGTAGAATAGATTCCTTGGACCAAGAAAGCGGAGAAATATCTGTCGTTAAACAATTCATACAGTTTGGATCCAGCAATGGTGGTAGTTCGTTCTTTCATGCGTTCTTACAATGCTAAACGAACTCCTACACATGTTTACTCTCTCTTTACGCAAGATCGTAATACCACGAGTTACTTTTTCTTTCTACTCACTTGCTACATCGTTACTATTCATAGATTTCTCCAGCGAAAAGCTTTCGAAAGTCACAAATAGTCTCGTTCACTAGACAGCCGAAGCACTTAAAAAACTTCTCACGATTTACTTACCTTGCGATTTATTTCGAATATTGAAAATAAATAATGAAAATAAATAGAAAAAGTTAATTGTTTTGAAATCTTCCAAAAAAATCTGTCGTTAATATATTTACATATCAATGATATGATGAAAAGTGAAGTTATAGAAAATGCAGCCATTAAATCAGTTTAGCTTTGCTTTATGGGATAGAAAAAACTTTGAAAAAGTGGCGATCGATTGCGAACAGCTGTGGGTACGTCGCTAAGGTGACGCACGTAGAGAGAAAAAAGTAGAATGATCTTGAACCCGGGAGAAATAGTGTGGGGACAAAAAACATGAGGTAAAACGAAATTTTTGTTCGTGGAAATAGACTCATTTTAAGAAAAGTCTAAGGAAAACGGATATCTTGCCTGTTTGTGCGATGAAAAAAAGAAAAAAAAAAAAAAGAAAAGAAAAGAAAAGAAAAAGTATAAGGACTATAAAAACACTCTGAGAACGTTACTGCGACCTCGTATTAAAACGTTCTGCCATTAAAACATTTTACAAAGGTAAGACTGTCAATGTACTGATATGCCTGTCATCGTTTGCCATCGTTCTCTTCGTCGTTGTTCAACGAAGAAAAAAATGCTTCAAAAGTGCACGAGTTTTTAATCTCTCTTACGAGTTGTGCACACGACAATGACCGAAGCAACTTCCACCTGGCTCTCTCGCACATTTTTCGAGCGTTTATTTTACCTTTACATGTTCCATTTTCTTCTCTCTTTTTCTCCTTTTGACTTGCTTTTTTCTTTTTTTTTTTTTTCTTCTTTTTCCTTTTTTTTTCTTTCACGCCCGGGTAAAAAAAAGAAGAAAGAAGCAACAACACTAAAGGGTGCGATACACATATAACTCGAATTCTCGTAGCATTTCAAACGTGAGATGTGACGCTTTTTACTACTCTTATCTTCATGCTCTTTTCGCTAGCTACATCCTCGATCGTGTAGATAAAGGATATCCTGAACAAAAGAAAAGAATTGTGATACAAGCGATATCGTTGGATTCGATTCGATGAACGAAAGAATGCGAGTTCAATAATTAATTTGATAAAAATATTAACGTGTATTTCTAAATACAGATCTTTTTATAAAATTATTTTTTTCTCTTTTCACGGATGTATCATCACAATCTCGTGATTTTCATTTTCCTTCCCTCGTAAGATCAAAGTAATCTCTAAGTAAATACATATCTCGAAATTTTCAAATACGATACTCTTTATTTTTTCAAGGATCGTTTTATCAGAACAATATCCCTTTAACCCTGTAGCTTTTAAGCATATCGAATATATATGCGTTGTCATATCGATCGCTGGCCGATCTTATGTTGCAAGAGAAGACGAAAATGTAGATGGTTTCGCAAAGAAAACGGAGATATCAAAGCGACCTCGCGAATTCGCAGTTGTATTACCGAGGGTAGAAAGATTCTTCTTAACTCGAGTCGTGCCAAGAGGGAGCATAGCTTTTATCGACTTTTGAAAAGGGAGACCGTGTCAGAGACAATTTCCTCATTCTTTCTTTCTCTCTCTCTCTCTCTCTCTCTCTCTCTCTCTCTCTCTCTCTCTCTCTCTCTTTCACTCACACTCACTCACTCTTTTCTTCTTTTACTTGTTTCCTACTCATTCTCGTAATTTTTGATTGCACCACCCGATGTTCCTTTCGTCGGATGTATCTTCCTACGTCTCCGAAGGGGAAGGATCATGCCAAGTGCGTGACAATGATATACTATTGTTCTTAACAGTCCTACGTGCTGCTTGTACGAAAGAGAACAAGAGAGAGAGAGAGAGAGAGAGAGAGAGAGAGAGAGAGAAAGAGAGAAAGAGAGAAAGAGGGGGGATGAAGAGAAGAGTCTCCGTTACTCGACCATATAAGCGCAATTTCCTTTGATGGGATACGCTACTATTAATGCAAGGGGACCAAGTGTTACCTTATGAGAAAGTTTTATTTTGAAATGTTGCGTTTTGCGATCGAAGGACGTTCTTTTTCCAAAATTATATCGATAATTATTTATAGTACACTTTATAGTACACATATGTAAAGAAATTTTCATAAAAATTCGAATATCCAAGATCGATTACTATACTTGTTTACTTTAATTTCTTCATTGTAGAGAATTTCGATTTATTTTATAACAATTCAATTGATTATTTAAAGTATATATTATAGATACTATTTATCGAAGTATATGTAATATTCATGATTGGCTATTTAATTTTATTACGAAGTTACCGACCCTGTAGATTTGTAGTCTGATCTTACTTACAAGTAGTATCATCCCTCTATAAATCAGACCTATCAAATCTTGGACCAAAGGCATACAAAAGACAAATTCTTTATGCATTCAAAGTCCCGAAAGTTAGTAAATTCAAGTAAGACTTAACTCCATTGAATTCTATCGATTCTATTCGACATTCGTCTCGTCGAATAGAAGAATAGTACCTTCTCTCCGGCGACATCTTTTTTCTTTTCGATTTTTCAACTATTGTACTTATCATGAACCGTCGAACTAAAATCGATTGCTTTAAAAGGACTAGGAGAAACAGAAAAAGAAATTTCTAGTGGATCCAACCAGAAGAAGTAGGTATTTTCTCTGAAGCAAGTTTTATCTTGTAGATTTCTTAAAATACGACGAACACATTTATTCGAGTCATTTATCGCGCCTCTAGAGTTCTATACGCACTGTTGAATTCACGGATTCAATGCATAGGGTACGATCACGGTTAAGGATTTTATGGCTATCGCACATGACTGTTTCAGACTATATCGAACGGCTTCCATCGATCCAAAGAAGGGAAAGAGAATGAGATGGATGATAACATTCCATTCGCGAGTTTTAGAATGTCGATCCAGGGACCTTTATCGTCATTCCCTTCCCCTTTCTTCTCATCCCTAGATTCCCTCTAAAGCTCGGATTAAACGCTTGCTACGGCAATTTTTCAGTGATTTCACGGACTACATGTCGGGGTTTCACGGGCATGCATTCTCGATATATTTACATCCCCTTCGTTTTCTCTATCAAGGGATTTTAGAAATTTAGAAAAATTGTTTTTTCCTGATTTTCATTCGAACAAATTCGAATTTAACATTTCCATTTTGTATTTATATTTTTTAAATAATAAATTGACCAATAAGTAATATAAGAATTTTCAATATTTTATATATAATTCTTACATTTATTGGAAAATATTGGAAAATATTCAAATAAATGTTTGCATTTTTGTTTCTTCTATATTTTGTTCATTTTGTTTTATTTGAGGAGTAAATCACAGTTTGGTTCTAGCAGAGTAAACGTCTAAAGCTTAACGATAAATCTTAACTTTAATTTTTTTTCCTTTCTAATTTTGTTCGTATTAGGTAACATGATTTAACATTATTATTTAATTAATAGGTCAACGAATATACTAGTATTAATTGGATAAAAATCTGATAACTTTGAATTAAGTCGATGTTCGTATGAAAATTTGAATATTCTTGACTTATTCGATTATTTTGATAATTGATGAAAATTTCGTTTATTATACTCGTGTTTCGAATATGTAAATCATTAAATAGCATTCTTATAATAGAATAACAAATAGGGATTGAAAACAATTGTCATATTGATTTCGGTGAAACAATTACGAGAACCAAAATAATGTCATAACTGTTATAGATATATTGATACTAATTTATATCAGTTCCAGTTTCGGTTCTGTATCGATTCGGATTCGATAACTTAATATATATGTATAATACATATTTTTTTATATCGGAATTTATTTTGGTTCTTATTAATTATCTTATTGATATTGTAAAACTGTTAATACGTATAAAATTCTATTATGAAATCAATATGAACGAAAAATGTGAATTTATTAATTGTTATTATCTAATTAGTCATTTGTACCGTCGTCGCCGTTTTTGACACAGATAAAAGTAAAAAAATTTATTGTTAAAAAAGTCATCGGTCACTTTATTCACATGTGGATACATTTTATCTTGGGAACTTGAGAAACCTTGAGGACTAACAAAAGGGTTTTAGCAAATACCTATTTGACTTTCCCTAAAAAATAAAAAAATATAGAACCGATATTTGATTCTAAAGAACCAAAACCGAAGCTAATATCAGCGAGAACCGATATATATTATAACAGTTATAATATTTTTTCAATTCTCATAATTGTTTCAATTAGAACCGATATATAGCAATTTAAATAGTTATTTTCAAAACTGTTTCAACTTTTCGTATCAAGTATCACACAGACTTTCGTTACAGGTTGGCTGGTTACGTAAAGAAACACTTTTCTTTATACACGACGCCCTGTATAATTTGTTCTTTTTTCGCGGCTTTTTCTTTCATGCTTTTCTTGCATGCGCGGCTGCTTCGCAAGTCTTCAACTCGACTCGTGGTGGTGGTCGTGGTTATGGTTAAAAAGAATAAAAAAAAATCATTCGCGACTGTGGCTAATTTAGAAAGTTTGATGAACTCTGCCTACGCAAAATGGAGCTTTCAATGTCGCAAGCTTCCACAATTTTTATCGCGCTTTGCAAAATGCTTTTCTACATTGTTCTCTATATATTTAAAAGGATTGCGCCATTGTTAGAACGTAACGATATCGTATTAAAGAATTTAATATGAGTTTTTTCTTTGTTCTTTGTCATTTAAATATAGCTAATGTTTTTTTAACTCTTTCCCATACAACTTTTTAAAATTTTACTTTTGCGTAGATACAAAAAACTGTATTATTAAAACTTTATAATAAAATATAAATTTGGATTCTTGATTAATACGAAAAATTTTCTCTCATTTTTATCAAAACTGAAGTTCCTAAGTGTGTGAACAAGAATTAAGCCAAGAATTAATAGTTTTCTTTGTGCTTACACAAAAATTATATAATATAAAAACGAATCATATTATTATTATATTATATTAAGTATAACATATAGATAAAGAGTATTTGAAACTATATATGAGGTAACAATTAAGTTTGAGCCGATAAAATGATATAAAACTTAAAAAATACATAAAACACATACATAAGACCTTAAAATTACATAGAACCTATCATGACGGTTAAGTTTTCATAGAAAATAAAAAAGAAAAAATAAACGATAGTCTTGGTCTATCTATCTATGGAGTAATATTCAAGATAATAAAACTCTATATGAGCAGAATAGATCGCGATAGGTATTACGATCTCATATGCAGACCCGTTGTTCTCAAAAGAAATACGAGATAATGTCATGTGTGCGTGATGGGATTCGTGTTGAACTTTTTATCGAGCATACTTTAAGACACGCTTGGCGGACGCTTAAATTTAACGTCTCTTCTATCGTAAAAGTGATCGTGCTTGCATATGCAAAATTCTATTGAGATCGGATAAGCTTGATTTATAACTTCTTGGGCCCGATAACAACGAGTCAGCGATACGTATGTACATATGTATGTATTTATCTGCTTTGGATAAAAAATTCACCATGAAAGTTTCATGTCGTTTATTTTAAGAACTTCCTATATTATATCTACTTCGATCAAATCTGTACTTCATATAAAAAAATTCACATATAAAAAAACTAGAATTATATTTCATGCCAACGATTTCAGTAGTTATATGTATTTATTAAGAATTTTGTTTGTTGTTGTTAAAAATATTTTGTTTTTTTTTTTTTTTTTAATGGAGACATAGTTATCTCTAAAATACACGAACATTCGTTAATTTTTAACAGTTGACATAACATTGGTTAGTGACTTATGTTTTGATTGACAACCACTTAGTCTTACAACAACGTGTCACCAATGTGACTTGCGGTTGAAGTTGTACTTTTCATCCAGACTCCCTCTCTATGAGCGTGTCAATCCGTGGATATAGCTAACTCGACACAAGGTTGATGTAACAGGCCTGAACCAATATTGCCGAATGTTTATCGGGAGGGTGAATAAGATGAAGGGAATGGACATTTAAAGACAATGAATTTTGTTGACGATTGATCGACTTACGTATATACGTAACAAACAGATGAAGAAATATATCTTTTTAGTACAAATATTAAAAAAAGAAAAAAAAAATAAGAAAAAAGAAATTAATAAAAGCTATGCGCTGTCTGATTAACGAACGATGTAAGTACTTTGTTTTTATGATTAAAAATATAAAAATGACGTCATATTGAAAGAAGTCATAAGATGATTTGAAGGAGCGACTAATGAGTTTCATCTTCAAAGGCCATTGTGCTTTAGATGTGTCGAAGAAAAGGTAGTCTCCAGTCTCATCTCATGGTCCGGCAACTTCGAACTAAGGAATCTACAAACCCGTAATTGCGCATCGTTATACCACGTTCCATTTCTTCTTTCAGCAGTATTGTCATAGAAACTTGCTCGATTTCTGACGAAATTAATTGATCGTAAGAAAATGTTGATTTTTGTGAAATACTGTTTCTTTATATACCGATAAAACAAATGGTTTAGATTAATCTGATGATATTAATCTTTTGATCTATCAATCTTTTTGATTAAGAGAAAAACGATGTTTGGTCGAACCTCGATATTCAAAGTTATTGTTCTTAGAAGATCTCTATTCCTTTTTTTTTCTCTTATTTTCTGTGAATAACTCCAAATGTGAAATAGGATAAAGTGTAAGTCTTAGGAAGAAATTGCCTCTTCTATTCCATTTCTATCGTAAAATAAAATATCTATCGTTGATATCGTTGAAAATTGCCAGCTTTACAAGTATAATAGGTTGTAAATTTTATAATATGGGTGAAGCCTTATACGAAGGGGTAAATTCAATGTGATTAACAACGATAATCCAAGTATCCTAATGCCTTTGATGCCATTGGGAAGGGTATTATACTGAGTTGGGTTTCTACAAATGAAATTAGACTACAGTCATTGAAAGTTAAATTAGATTGAACTTTCGATTCATATATGTATATATAAGTATTTCTTATAAAAATCATAAAAAAAAATTGTACAATATTTTTAATTTTTCTAATAATCTATATCCATAAATCGATTTGAACCTACAATAAATTGTATTACTCTTTTCCAAACCTTCGTTCCTTATACATTCATGAGTTGAATTATTTAAAATAAATGGTAAATAATTCGATAGAGTGCAACTATCACAAAGAACTCATCGAGAACCCTAAGCCTATAAAGAATAGCCGATTCTTATGCAAACAGGGTTGTATTTCTCGTTAGTGGACCCTTTGTGCTCTAAAACCAGACCCTGTACTCTGCATAAGTTAAAAGAAGCTCGCCCTATATAGAAAAGACCATTAGGATATTTACTTTAAGGAGTTAGTAATAAGAGAAAGATATTGGCAATGTTTTCTATATTGTCCTAGCGTGTTATTACCCAACGTAGAGGTCATTGACCTCAGGAAGATATAATGAAGTTCAAAATATCGCTTTTATCGCGGCCATATCGTAATTCTATCGAAATCGACATCGTGATAGAACAAAATTAAGGATATTACAAACTGCAACTGCAAATACTTAATATTCACGTAACGTAAATATAACTAGATTTAAAGAGTTTAAATATAAATTTTCTACAATGTTAGATATTCTGTAAAAGCAAATATTAATAAAAAAAATTATATATACACATAAATAGTGAATTTATTGAAGAAGAACAAAGGCAGGAAGATCGTAATGACAAAATCAATTTGATCGAATTGTCGCATCACGTCTCCTTCGGCCCAACGTTATTTCTCGAAGGGTCGACTGTGCTGAAAATCTTCGAAACGCAGCTAAACTAATTTGAAGCTAGAGCGGTTAACAAGAATGTTGGTCGAAATGAACGCACGACTTAACAAGCTTACCTCAGCTCGGTGAACCCTCTATCCCGTTAGCTTTGTCTTGTGCAACTTGTGACCCACATGCAAGCAACGATGCCGAAAATAAGACACGACTAACTGTGTATCAGAGACTTCAAAAACATCAACGACTATCTACGTGTATCATCCCAATTGATCCATCCGAGCCATCAGAATTTTTCTAAATTTTCCAGAAAGGAAAGTTCTCTTTTGGAGTTCCACATCGACACGAACAAAGAATAAAATAATAAAAGAATAAAAGAAATCGTTCTTACATAAAAATAAACAAACAAAATGAGCTCTGTTTCCCTTCAAAGCTCAGATATTATAATTGATTCAAGATGTAAACAAATGTCCAAAGGATTCATAAAAAATTAACACAGCACACCGGTTAGACTTTCTTGTGTCACTCTGGCGTTCCGTTTACCGATGAAGAAGATGACAATGTATCCCAACAAATATAGAAGATTAGTTAATGGGCTGCAATGCGTCCGCTCAAGCCACTTTCGAAGGTTCGACCAATCTCCCTCTTTCTCTCTCTCCCTCTCTCTCTCTCCCTCTCTTTCTCTCTCTCTTTCGCTCTCTCTCTCTCTCTTTCGCTCTCTCTCTCTCTCTCTCTCTCTCTCTCTCTCTCTCTCTCTCTCTCTCTCTCTCTCTCTCTCTCTCTCTTTTAAGAAGTCTTTCGACGGTGCATCGATCATGCGTAACGTTAAGTTCGCTAGGTCGAGTTTGATCTTTGATATTTAAATCACCTATTTCCAATCATCAAAAAAAAATTTGTGAAAAGGATCGTTAAGTCACGATCGAAAGATCGAACCTGTCGTTTTGCGGAAGAACGGTGCAAGTAATCTCCGAAAACGTTTTGTGCCAAGGAGAACACACACTACGTGATCGCTGAGTTTCTCCGTACTGCGTCCGGGTCGAGCACCTACCTAGCCGAGTCGTCATCGGGGACTCGACGCAGGCGCTCCGGAGAAAACCAACCCCTTAACACCCCGCGACCCTAAACGTCTCCTTCTCCCTTTCTCCTCTTCATCCTCATCCTCATCCTCCTACTTTTCCTCCTCCTCCTCATCCTCATCCTCCTACTTTTCCTCCTCCTCCTCCTCCTCCTCCTCCTTCTCCTCCTCTTTCTACTCTTCCATTTCTCCTCGCGTTCCCCTACTTCTTTCTCTACACCCCTATACTCCCGTACCACTACGGGGAGTGAACATCCGAGAGACGAACGTCGCGTACTGTACCCTCGCATTGAATATAGAGAGACAAGGATGACCATCGCCGAGGGAATCGTTAAATACGCTGGTCGACTGAATCTTATTTGAATCGGTCAACAATGATCCAAATGAAATTCATGATTTCATGATTCTTTTTACGTCTTATGAATAAAAATAAAAACATAATGATATTTAAAAAGATCTACAAAATTATCCAATTTTTTTTTCAACTATGATAATGTTCTTCATTGATTTGAATAAAATAATAGAATATTGTTACAATTTAAACTTTGTTACAATCCAATCGAATTATTTAATCGTATGTTTGATTAAATTTGGCAAAAGGACGAATTTTGCATGAAAATAGAAGAGTAAATGAACGAAATGTCTGGAATTAAATTAGTCTGATTAGTCTCTTCGAGACTGACAAGTCACGGTTGATCATAACTACTGTACGATTATCGATATATCTATTTTGGTAAAATAATAGTTCGAAATGTTTATTGCATTACTGATTAGATGGCACTTGAATGGGAAACATACACGATCCGAAGTATTTCTAATAAACTGTTTGAAACATACACGATGCCAAAGAATTTTTAATAAACCGTTTTAATATCGACAAAATATCTTGCATCTTAAAATCGTTATTCAAAGTTCCAGTAAAGATTTTACAATTAGATTTTGTTAAGGACAACGAATCGCTCCGCAATCCTCCCTATTCTGTCACAAGTCGATATACACAAGCAACATGTGTCAGCGTATGTAAATACGATTTACATAAATACAAGCTACGTGTACATATTTCGATTTGCAATTATCTTTGAAAATTCGCTAAAGGAAGAAGAAAGAAAAAATTCTTTCGTTGCAAGTATATCTACAATCAAATATCGAAAAAACAAAAAAGTAAACAAATAAATAAAAAAAACAAGATCATTCATATTACCATTCTATAAAATTCAGATGAACGTTGATAGAAAGATATTAAATTAAATTAAAAAAATAAAAATAAATGAACAGTATCAAATTAAAAGCATACATTTTTAAATAACATCTGTTTACTCTACTCATTGAAAATAAATAATTCATTAGCATAATTTCATGAAATGATGAATCAATCGACAATGAATAATCGAATTGAAAGGATAAATTCTCGAAAAGAGACACATATATATTTGTGTAAAGAGGAGCTCGAGACGGAATGGTCCGCACGGTACTGCTTCGGCACCGTTTATGAGCGTTCTATGCCAACACGATGGTATCGTGAATGAACGCATGCGTCGGCGTCAGTTCCCATGGAAACGGGATGTGAGGCACCGCGTGTGAATGCGTATTGATTACTTCGCTTTCGCTCCATTCCGCGATCTCTCGGTTCTTGTATCTCCTCTCTCGTCGCTGCCACCCTGTCACCCCCACGCAATCCCAAACCTCCCTTCTTTCTCTCTTTCTGTCTCTTTCGTTTCGAATCTTCCCATTCCATCGATGGTCTACCCTCCCTTTTTTCTCTTTCTTCAAATTAGCCCCCTAATGTTCTCGTGCCCTTTCTCTCTCTCTCTCTCTCTTTCTCTCTCTCTCTTTCTCTCTCTCTCTTTCTCTCTCACTCTTTCTTTCTTTTTCTCTCTCCCTTTTTAGAGACCTCTTTATACAGAGATCTCATTCGTTCGAGTCTTCGAGTTTCTAGTCGAGGGAGGATAAATTTGCGTTTCCGTAAGACCGACTCCACTACCAACTCATTTTTTCTTTTCTACTACCCCTTTTTCAAAGTTCGCGAGAAAGTTCATATTTACTAGCGTCGCCGTAATATATCGTTTTACCCCCCTGCGGAAACCTTGTGGTTACTATATCCGAATGAAACTCAACGTAGAAAGGCTATATACGTTGCCATCGTTTTGCACGACCATCGAGGAGGTCGTTTTTCGAGAAGGCAAGTTTTTTAATACATACTGAACCAGTTTCGAAGACTATTGATTCGCCTCACGAATACAGTATAGATTTATCGTTCGGAAGTCGGAAAATAAACGAACGTAAAAGACATTATTTTCTACAGTGATAAAGTATTATATATTATCATATCATTATAAATTATGCTTTTATTGTTGTTCATAGCTATCTCTTATATTTCAAAGTATTAATTTTATACATATTTTCAAGCTCATTCTACTTTCAAAATTAGATAACTACTTACGCAAAGTTCATAAAATCATCAGGGGAAGACAGGTCAAATTACTTAACAAACAACTATCCTGACATCACTAAACGTACCTTTACGACGATACAATCGGAACATCTTATTTCTGACTCACAGTTCTGACTAACTGAACAATGAGGAAATTTCGTAGTACCTACGTGAATATGATGTAACGACGAGCTGGAACATCATCGACATTGTCCGCTTGCAATTTCGACCGTCAACCGCACACTTCGAATACCCAAGCGGAACAAATTGTTCCGTCCGCGTTTCGTAATGGCTGCGTCCATTAGGGAGACGAGATTGTGCAAAATCGTGAATCGACAGAGCTCGTTCGAAATACAAATTAAGATCAAAAATACACAAAGCTATTATCAATGGCATTTTGATTGATCAAAGTATTCTTTGATCTACAGATCTTATCAAAATCAATGATTTGTAAAATAGTTTTTAAAAGTTATAGAAAAGGAAAACACGAAATTGTAAAAATTTTATGAGTGTCTTCTGAGATTTTTAGATGGATTATTCTGGAGAAAGTTTGAAGAAGAACAACGAAAAAGGATAGATAATTTAAAGAAACTTCAAGTTGAGTTAAGAATTTGATACGATTCTTGGCTTCGCCTGCTTGAAATAAATAAACACGATACAGATAAGTTCATCGTTGCACTTCCAATGGGAAAGTTAAGAATAGGAAAAGAAAAAGTGTCCACGACACGCATTTCGAACTTCCAGGAAGAAAAATATCAATTTGATATTAATCTGGAATGAAAGTATTTGGACCATGGTGACCACCATGGTAAAATAATTTTTTATGCTAATGAAGAAATTCGTGCAGTTATTATTTTTATTACTGGTTCAAATAAACTATACCAGTGATTTATTTATTATGCAAAAGTATTGCGATCGAACTTATATATCGAATCTATTCCATAGAACTCGATCACAATAAAGACGATCATTAATATTATTATTATCACTGTCATCATTGAATATAATAAATGAGAAATATTTTTCTACTGAAAAAAAAAAACAAAAAAAAGCAAAACAGAAAGTCGTAATTTCATAGCCTTCCCTGTTAGAATATGACAATATACCATGCGTGACCACTTTATAAAAGGGTGAAACTCTACAAATTAGAAAGTCAGTTCTGTGACGACGTTCCGCTAGTTAGTGCAAAGACCTGTCAAATGAAACGCCTTTGAAAGAACTTCGAAGATGACATTGAGAAGTAAATAAAGTGAATAAAGTGAATAAAATTACAACGATTTATTTCGATTGATCAGAAACCGATTTCCGATATAATGACTCTACAATATTTTCTGATTTTCTTTATTTTTTTCATTGTTTGTCATGGATTATCGGAGGGAAAAGAATATCCTTCAACAGACGAACTTTTAAAGAAGCAATTTACAGAAGACAGACTTTTTCCGAATATCGTACGAGATAGAAATTCCTCCAAAGGTTTCCAGACGAAGAATAACGAAAATAATTCCGATGATAAAAACACTGATAAAAAAGCAAGAAATGTTATTCGAGGATCACCGTCTTTGGAATCGAGAGATAAGTTTAAATCTATCGAATATTTTCGATGATTTTTTTTCTTTGGTAATGATCATATATACATTTACGTATAGATATTTATCTGCATATACATGTATATATACGTATTTGTGTATGTGTATATATATATATATATATATATATATATATATATATATACCGTACATATAAATTAATTAAATATTTTTAATTTCTAAGTTCCAACTGTTGCGGAAATAGACATGGTTCAGGTTCATCGTCTCGACCAGATTACAACAGGATTCCATCGGAAAATAATCATTATTCATCTTCGTATGGAGACAGAAATGTCGACAGGTAATTTCAACAAAATAATTTATTCCATTCCCAAAAGAATTTAACAACATTTTTCACATTTCAGACATAGTTGGCAAATTCCAATTCGACCCATGAGTTCAAACATAGGTAGTGAAAGACCTAACGTTGGAAGTTACAGTGGTAGCTATGGTGGAAATGGTGCTTATAGTGGAACTTACGCAGGAGATAGGTCAATATCTATTATATATATATATATATATATATATATATATATATATATATATACTATATATATAATATATGTATATATATATAGATGTATATATATAAAGCTAATATAGTTTTATTAGGTGTTTATAATCAATCTAATATGTTATATATGAAAATCAGATATGGACAAAGGCCTAGTTACGGAAGTGAAAGTTCTAACAGACCAGGATCAAATTATAATTCAGCAGATGTTGGTGGATACGGTTATGGTAATGGTGGATATGGTAGTTATGGCGGCACACGACCTGGACATGGAATCACAGCTACTTTAGAAAATGGAAATGATTTTAATCCTGACGAACCTGATATTCCTGACAATAATGTCCCACAATATCCAGGAAGTAATATCCAAACTCAAAAGGTGATAATTTCGATTAATTTCTGATAATAATAAAAAAGCTATTATCAGAAAGTTGTACATAATAACATACATACATTCATTTCGAAGGCCGTTGCTTTAAAAGCTTTAGCCGGAGTCGCTTTGATCGGCGCAGCCGCGGCTTTAGCTACAAATCCGGTTCTTTTACCGATTGGAATTGTTTCCGGGAGAAGAAAACGTTCTGAAATTACTTCCGCGGACAACGACATTATGGATTACGTTTTACAAATGATAGCGACGAATTTTTCTCAAGTATTCTAATTTTTCTTTCTTTAATTACTATTAAATACATTTGTATATTGAACAATTTTTAAGTACATTATTAAGTACATTGAACAATTTTTAAGTTTTATATATATATTTTTTTTTTAGACGTATGATAATGGAAGTTTTGAAAATAAAAAATATGTCTCTCCGAAATGTGTAGCCAGATTGACATGCGAAATACGTAAAGATTATATGATCGATATTACTGAAGATATTAAAGATCAACACGATGAGAAAATTACAAAAATACAATTTAACAAATTGTAAGGGAATATTATACAAGCTTAATTGTATTTACATCATTTTAATAATTTCTATGTATTCGTTATTTTTGCAGAATTCAAAATAACGTTCTGAATGCTGAAACTATAGATAATAGCGTTAAGGAATTAATTAAAATGGCTCTCACCGTAAGTTCAAATAGAGGAAACTGTGGAGTATTCGCTTGTAATTTCAGACGTAATAATTTATCCAAATAATATAAAATAATTTTGTCTTTAATTAATTATTTCGTAAGTTTTTAAATAAATTTTTAGAATAAAATTTGTTTTTTGTTTAGTTTATTGTGGGAGTATTAAATTACTTATATAATACATACCTGTAGCTGTTAATTCCTTTTTTCGTTTTTTCCTTATTCTCTTATTAATCATTTCTTTCACAAATTTTCCTTCTTTCGCGTTCTCTTTTACTTTATTAATGAAATACAATTTATTATATTAATCATGTATACGAATTACAAATATTCAAAGTCAAATGAGAATTCGTTTACTCGATATACACATAATATGGTGTAACAGATATAATTACTTACGTATTAAATGATATAAATCTAACAATAAGCTGAAATTTCAAGGATTAATTAATGAATTTTAATTGGTTGACTTAATCGTAATGTATTGTACGTAAGAATTTGATTGGTTTAAAATGTTACGATTCCTTTGTCATGCTTAATGCGTATAAACCTTGTTAGAATACATAATACACGTGATACAAGATAAAAAAAACAAAATATAACTGACGTGTCCTACCATACAAATAACGTGGCAATCGGTTACTGTCAGTAGTTGCGAAAGTTTCGTTCAAATATCGAGTACTTGAATGTATCGTATTAAAATATTTACTCTTATCTATTTTGACAAGGTATACAATTATTATAATCAAATTCGATTTATAGAAAAAAATTCTCGATCTGTCAGTGACTTGAACACGTCATTTAAGGTTATATATGCAATGAACATTGCGTTAGGTATATAATGCATTATTTATTTATTTTAAAATCTGAAATAAAGTAATTCCTGTTATAAGCATAATATGTGGTCATCGTGTGAAGTAATAGCTTTCATGGAGATATACAGAAATGAAAGTGTATACCGATATGATACATGAAATTTGGTTTAACCTATCAAACGGTGGTAAATCAATTTTGAAAGTTGCAGTCTGACTTTTAGGTTGCCACGTAAGTCTACAGGAAATATTAGTGTTTTCAATAACACGTTAAAAATTTTCCCCTTTTTGTTGTGATATTTCGATACATTAAATTTCTACGATGGGAACAAATTTAAGAAGGAAAATTGAAAAAAACGATGCTATGGAAGAAGGTGTCGCAGAACACAATCACATTCATGACAAAGCTGATATACGTGGAGATGAAAAAAATATAGCTATTCTTTTTTTCCTATATCTGTTACAAGGAATACCTCTCGGTTTATGTGGCTCTATTCCTATGTTATTGCAAAATCGAGGTGTATCCTATCGGCAACAGGTAATTTATTATATAGTTTAAAATTATTAACATATGTTACTTAATAAGATAATGTATTGTGATTTACCTGTTCCAAATACAGATGGTTCCTTTTGATTTTAGGCGGAATTCAGTTTTGTACAATGGCCATTTTCGTTAAAATTATTTTGGGCACCAATAGTAGATTCTGTGTTTTATCAAAAGTTTGGACGCCGAAAAACATGGCTGATACCTACCCAATATTTGATGGGTATGTTTATGCTAGTACTATCTGGACATGTTGATCATTGGCTGGGTAAAGAACATGAAAAGCCAAATATTGAAATGCTGACTGCATTATTTTTTGCTTTGAATGTACTTGCTGCTACTCAGGATATTGTAGTAGATGGTTGGGCTCTTACGATGCTTAAAAGGTAATATATTATTTATTAATCTCTCTCTTTTATCTATTGTCATTTTTATTTTTTAAATTATGTATTTTATAGATGTAATGTAGCATATGCATCGACATGCAATAGTGTTGGTCAAACTGCAGGTTACTTTATAGGCTACGTTCTTTTTATGGCATTAGAGTCTGCTGAATTTTGTAATGGATATTTAAGATCAGTTCCATCAAATGAAGGAATTTTAACTTTACCTGGTAAAATGAAACGCAATTTCATGAACATTGAAAAAATTCCATTATACATTTTATTTCATACATACTGTCTTTTAGGATTTTTATATTTCTGGGGTTGGATATTTATTATTACCACGACATTCATTGCTCTCTTGAAAGGTGAAAATAAAGAAAAAGTTGGTAAAGATGAAGAGTTGAATACGAATATTAGACATGCATATAAATTACTTTGGGATATTGTTAAATTACCTTCAATAAAAACAACAATTTTATTCTTGTTGACAGCAAAGGTTTGAATTGTCTAATATTAAAAGTAAATAATACAAAGAAGAAAACAATATGTGTGTTATATAATTATCTTTTCCAGATTGGTTTTTCCGCTTGTGATGCTGTAACAGGTTTAAAATTAGTAGAAGCTGGTATCCCTAAAGAAAAGTTTGCATTAATGGCAGTACCTATGACACCGCTACAAATATTTCTACCATTAGCTATTTCTAAATATACTGTTGGTCCAAGACCTATGGATATATATATGAAAGCAATGCCTTACAGGTTATTATTAAGTTAATTATAAAATATTAACCATTTTATATATTAGCCACTCAAAAAAGATATTTTTTTATTACAAGCATTCTTTTTCTTGCAGGCTTGCTTTTGGACTAATTGCAGCATGTTTGGTATGGATTACACCATATATTATAAATAATGGACAAGTTCCAATGTATTATTTTATTATATTGATTGTTCTTTATCTTATACATCAGGTAACAATTATTTCTTGAAACATATTAAATCTTAATTATTAAATTTAATAATGTTATCTCGTATATTTTAGATATCTGCAAGTTGCATGTTCGTAGCATCTATGGCATTTTTTGCAAAAGTCAGTGATCCTGCTGTTGGAGGTACTTACATGACATTATTAAATACGTTATCTAATCTTGGTGCAAACTGGCCTGCAACAGCAGCTCTTTGGTTTGTCGATCCTTTAACACTTAGACAATGTAGTACAGATGCTTCCAATGATTGTAGTACACTTGCGGAAAAACAGGTATTTTTAATTTTTATTTTTCTAATTTTTTGATAACGTTACTATTATCAAATACGTATAAATAAAACATTAAATTTTTTACAGTTATGCACAAGTACTAATGGTGGTACTTGCATTATGCAGCTTGATGGATATTATATAGAAAGTTTACTTTGTTTAATAATAGGATTCTCTTGGCTCAGATGGGGTAAACGAAAAGTAAACTTTTTACAAGCTAGACCAATATCAGCTTGGAAAATCAATCTAACTCGACAAAATAGATAACACAATGTATCAGTGTTAAAATTCATTAATGCTGTACCTGTAATTATTAGAAAATAATATAATGACTTAATGCGTATATATCTACCACACGTGGTATATGTGCATTCGTTACGTACTGCACATTCATGAAGTGTTCCAACTGTATTAACTGGTAATTGAATGTAAGAAACTTTTCATTAATTTATTCGACAGTTAAATACATTATTGTGTATACTTATATAAATTTATTATATATTTTTACATCAATAAAATAAAACCATATGGCACAATATGAGTGAGGTGATTTGATATTATGGGAGATAAATAAAACATTCCCCTCACAATTTATAGTACAAGTAGTTTATGTTGAATCGTTAACATTCATTTAATAGATCAATGTTGTGAGATCTATAATATAAAAGTCTTCACTTTTGTTATAGCAATTATGCACTGGAAATAAATAGTGTAATGATCATTAATATTTAACTTTTTTGTATAAAAGTTCTTTACGTTGTCATTTTATTAAAGCTTGTCTTATATATTATAAAAATTTTTAAGGAATATTTACTAACCTATGCACCTTGTTTAATACAGATATTACTTTATATTAGTAATTAAAAATTTATGATTTATACTTACATAAGTTTCTTTTATTTCTATAACTTATAATAAATATTATAAATATAAGAAACATATTAAAGTAATACAAATTTCCTTTGTAAAATATTATGAAAGTTCTAGTTGTAAGTTTATTTATTTTGTTAGCTTATAAAAAAATATATAAATCTGAAACACACTGATGTTCTTCCAAAAAATTACTAAATATTCTAACAAAATTAATCAAGATTACTTACCAACAAGTAGGAATATTTCTCTGTAAATTTATTACAAATTATAATGATAAATTTGAACTGTATTATAATCTATAGATATAAGAATATTAGTAAATAAAAGTAAGAATGTGGGTTAAAATAAAATTAAAGAAACGAACATACTTCAATCATTACAATTATTTCATAATACGTCCTACTTTTTATTACTGTTATTATTATTTATAATCATTTTAAAAAGCATCAAATGAAATTCAAATAGTATAAGATACGAGTGCCAGAAAAATATTACTTGTGATATAATTTGTAAACAAACAACTTAGTAATTAGTTTTTTAATATATTTCAATTCTAACCACAGCATCCAGGTTTTGGTACAGATGTAAGTAAATCGGAATCAATCGTTGCTCTTTTCTTTGGTAACATCTTCGAAGGATGATGATCGTCACTTTTGATAGCAGAAATTATCATCGATGGTGATTTGGTATTAGTTTCAGATCGATGCTAAAATTAAAAAATAAATAAAATAAACTTATACAACGTTATTAATGAATATATTATCCGTAATTGAAATATTGATAATTGAGAAAAATATGTATATTTTAAATTAAATGTGATGTGTTTACATATTTATATATATATCATTACGTAATGCAATATTTTTTCTTTCAAACAAGGAATTTCAGATGAAAGTACATGATCGCCATCATGCTGGATGTTTCGAGCAAAGACAACACTAAAGATCATCATAAAGAAAGCCAATCGTAGAAACATTTCATCAAATTTAAAAAAACAACGAAATAAATTCAAAAAATGATTTTTGTTTTAGTGACAACTACTTTGTTGATCGAACTAATGAATGAACACTATCGATCAAATACGATCCTCTATATATAAAAAGATGGCTAACTATGATAACGTTAATAAATCATTTTTTTAACGTTGTATATTACCATATTTCTTTTATATTTAGTAAATTGTTTAGAAAAGAAGTTTTGAATTGTTCGAATGACATGACTTTTATCGTTATTCTGTTGTTCAATATGACTTGTTTGAATGCAATAATTATTCTAAATGTTTGAATTTCTACTTATATTACTTAAAACATGAATGTTTTATAGTATACTTAAATCATAAATGAATACCAATAATATAAATGTGATTAATAGTTCGTTTAATTTCACAGGCATGGTTTCTCTAATTATCTCAATTAAGAGAGAGAGTATTAAAATTTTCAATTAATATAAGTGAATAATATAATTTATAAATAATTAATATTCTACTACATCTATATTTGTAATAAATTTAGAGACAATAATGTCAATACATATTTGTAGTTATACACACATACAGTTAACAAAGATGTCCAAAATGTCCTTGCAAGATGTTCAACAATAATAGGTAATTATCATCGTGAAAAATATTGCAATAATTTGATTTTGACCAGAATAATTAAATCGCTTTTACTTACATAACATAACTTAAATAGAGTAATATTTTATATCTTCTAAATATTTACTGAATATAACATATTAGGTAAATTTAACGAGAAAAAAATAAAAATAAGATATATATATATATAGCAAAGATTTGTTTGAAATATTTTTAATTTTTAAATATAGTAGAAATATTGCACAAAGAATTTGAAAATCATAGAACAGCAAGTAGGGAGTTATATTGTTGGAGTTATCTTACATCTAACATCATATTGTATATATCGATTTGTACAGTAATCAGATTACATTATTTTTGTATACTTTCTATAATAATCTATAATAACATGTCGTTATAAACACATACTCACATCTTATTAAACTTTTAATTTCGATTAACTATTTCGATAAGTTTATGTCTCTGCTATACTACCATCTAAGCGAAAGATACAAGTGTTACATAACTCTATGGCACTTCGATGGTAGTACATAATTAATTATAATCATATCCACGTATAATGTTGATTCAATATATTCGTTATAACAGATGATCTGTTTTACATCTACAAAGCAGAAAACCATGTAGACAGTATAATATATATATATATATGTGTGTGTGTATCTATAGATAGATATACACGATTAATGAATTTATTATAAATTAACTTTTATAGTAGAATAAATAATATAAATAATTAAATAAATAACATTGGTGAACAAAATTGTCCTTGCAACAGAAAGCATTTGTTATTGATTATTTCAAGGAAACTGTATACAATAAAAAAGCAATAAATATAATCATTCTCTTATTGGTTGACGTAGGAAGGAGAGGTGCTTTATTTTATTTTTTTTTTCTTTACTTGTAGGAAAAAAGCAAACTTAAGTTTTGATTGAAGTTTGTACTGTAACATTATATCTAGAGATTTGTTTCTTTTTACAAAAAGACATATTTACAAAAAAATATTACTTTCATTGTCCCACGAGACGGAGAGTATTCGTTCATTTTGTCTAATCCTCTCCCTTTTGCAAACGCCCATGAAAATAGCAAATTGCTCGGTTAAATCCAATTATAATCTTAATCTTAATAATCGTCGTATTACGGACGAAATCTATTGTCATTTTTTTAAATACATAAATCTTATTTTTATAAATAGTCTACTCGTTCCCAAGGCACCATTTCTCAGCCCTTAGATGCAAACGTAAAAGTATATCGAAGATAGATATATATTATTCATTTCGCTGTTATATCATTGTCTTCGACTTTTCATCTTGACCTACCTATGTCCGCTTATGTAGGGAAAATATTCAAATGAAAATTGTTATCGGGACGTTTGCATCTAAGCGTCAACTCGATAACATGACATCATCTTTCACAGTGCCAATTGAAATCTATCATTGTGTCATCAAAACAATATTTCTCATTTTTAATCATTTTTATATAAAACAAACCAAAAGGAGGATATTTTCAAACAAAAATCTTATTAATAACCCTCGTAACCACTTTGCAATAATTTACGTATATATATATATATATATATATATATATATATATATATATATATGTAGATATATAATAGATATATAATATTTGTAATATATTTTCTTAAAAATAGAACTACAGTAAATCAGCGTTATTACAAGCATATTTTGTACCGTTTAACAAACTTGTGCGTAACTAAATATAAAGAAGACTAATTGTTTTAATGTATATACTCCCTCGTAATCTCATCTTTTATCTAATTAATGTTTTAACACTTTATATATATATATATATATATATATATATATATATATATAATATATATATATGTATAGATATAGTGTATATTTTGAAAGATTCGCTGCAAGCTCGTCAGGATAAGTATTAGCAAAAATTACCAGTCTTACAGATTTGAAAGTCTCATCGAAGCTGATCTATATGAATTGGTACGAGGAGATCTTAAAACATAGATTCATTAAATACATTACTTAAAGCACCATTATTTACACCGTATACGGATACTAGTCAATTCTAAAAAAGCACAATCCTTATCGAAAGAAAATTAAATTCATCATATTCAATGTATTGAAAATCTTTTTCCTAGTTTCTCGAACCACAAAGACTATTTTTTTCTTTGCATTTAAAAATGTCAAGTTCTTTGATCGTTAGTTTTCAACTTCCTATGAAAAAATAATCATTCATATGATTATACATAACGTCTATGATCAAATAACTTCTTTCTTGTAATAGATTTGGAAACCTTCTTAAAGTAATTTACTTTTTTTTTATATCTTCTTTGTTATTACTTTTTATCTTTGCTCTCTCTCTCTCTCTTTCTCTCTTTCTCTTTCTTTCTCTTTTTCTTTTCCACATTGTTACTACACTTATACTTACTGTCTACTTTTTAAACCTTTTGCTTGTAATACTAGTTTTAATGTTCGTTCTCGTCAAGAATAGGTACTTTGTCAACTTTTTGATTAACGCGTAACATTGCACCCCATTTAGCACCTCTTACTGCTTCCGAACTAGCCATTAAAACTGAATATGAATTTGGACTAACTGCTTCCTTACTATAGTGAATACCATACAAAAAGTAAATGAGCATTCCTAGAAATATAAAAATGATAAAATATAGGAAAAATGTATATATTAAAAATGTAAAAAGTATCGGAAAAAACTTTATCAACTTACCTACTATCATCCAGACGAAAAATCGTAACCAAGTTAATAAAGACAAATGAAACATCAAACCAACATTGAAAAGAATACTTAAAGCTGGAATCAAAGGTACCATCGGTACTTGAAATTTACCGCTTGGTGGATTTTGTCGATGTGCACCAATCACTAACAAAGCTGTAAACAAAATATCAAAATATTAAATTTGATATAATTTATTTCTGCAATAAATGCATCATTCTAGAGGATTATAACTTACTACCGATTATAAGAATGATCACGTTCACCAAGACAAAGTAATCGTTCCATGCAGATTCAAAAGATGATTGGAACAATAGTATCAGAAGCGGACAAAGTGAAGCACTGGCTGTTGTATAAATTGTTACAGTAATAGCCACGGCTGTTCCAGGCTCACAATTGCCTAAGAAATTGGCTAACCAACTGTATCGTGGTTTTAATTTTCCAACACCTTCGCTAGAATCCAGAAGCTGTGAAAATATCATATGTTTTGAAATCAAACGAAAAAAGAGAAATTTTATATATTTATTTATATATATGTGTATTTATGTATGTATATATGTGTATGTACCTCGGCATCAGCCGATGCAATGCTGTTGCAATCACTATTAAAATCTGCACCCTCTGTAGGTGGTGAAGCTAGACTGCTCGGTGTACCGGCAGTAGAAGCAGCAGGTGTATTTTTTTCAGGACGATATCTGAGTACTATGACACTAGCCGACACGATGGTATACGCCAGGAAAGTACCAATAGACATGAACTCAACCAAATGTTGTAAATCGAAAAGAAGAGCAATCAACGCACTAAAAATTCCACTAATCATCAAATTGAGAACTGGTACTTGAGTACGATTGCTTATATAACCGAGAAAACCAAAAAGAAGACCATCATTTGCCATGGCATACATCGTTCTTGGTAAGGAAAAGAGCGAACCGAAGAGAGTAGTTGTCATTCCGCAAAGTGCACCGATACTGTAAGGAATACAATTTTTAAAATGATTCTGATATTTTTTATTTAATAATTATTAGATTAGTCGATAAATAATATTGAAATTTTTAGTAAAAAAGATATTGAATATACTTTGTTATTTATTCTTATTATAAAATACTGCAAATTTTTACATTACTTATTGGCCAACTCAATATTTATTTGATGCTAATATTTATTTGACTCACCTAATCACATATTTAGCCCATGGTATACCTCTCGATGCGAAAGCTTCAGGAAGTGCTGCAGTAGGGTTGATGTTCCAGTAAGGTACAATCAATGTAAGAACACCACCAACCATCACATATCCAATAGTGACAATAGCCATTGAAAGAATCGTTGCTAACGGAATACTTCGTCCTGGATCAAGTGCCTCTTCTCCGGATGTTGCAATCGAGTCGAAGCCAACGAAAGCGTAAAAGCACGTTGCTGCGCCTAAATGAGACGATCGAAATAGGAAAAATAAGAAAGTAATAAAACATAGAGAGAAGATTTTCGATTTGAAATATGTAGCTTGAAACTATTTTCAGTTATGACTTCATTATCGCATTTAATTTTCTTAAAATAGCGACGACTCACCAGCAAGTACGCCACTGAAACCATATGGAAAAATTCCACCGTTTTCGTTGCTCCAATTCGAGATATCTGCGTAATAAATTCCCAAAACGATCGTCAGTATCATGACAGCTAAATTAACCAAAGTCAAGAGAGAATTAACGGCTGCTGAACATTTCACTCCCAATGTTAGGAGCATTGCATAAACAAGACATAAACCGCATGCCAAGAAATCCGGCATGGTACCAAGTGGTTCTCCCATTGTATAACCACCCATTAAACGATGAGTATAATTACTAATCGCTCCTCCTGCCAAGGAATCGACGTAACCACTCCAAGCTCTTGCCACGGATGCAGCACCTGATTTAAATTGATACATAATATTTTTTATAAGAACTGAAATGATAACAAAGTTACACAATAAAATTACCAGACGTACCAATCATATGCTCCAGTATTATGTTCCAACCGATAACGAAGGCCCAAAATTCACCGATAGAAACATAAGTATAAACGTAAGCACTGCCAGCTTTAGGTACCCTCGCACCAAACTCGGCATAACACAGAGCAGCTAACAATGAAGCTATACCGGCTAGAAGAAAGCTGAGAACTACACCTGGTCCAGCTAAATCATGAGCCACCGTTCCTGTTAGAACATAGATTCCAGCACCGACCATATGCCCGACACCTGATGACATATAAGAAATATGAATAATTTCTTTATTTCTTTAACATAAACATGGAAAATTCTACCGAGTATGTAACGATATAATTTACATTTTTACTAATTTATATTAGCTTAAAAAAGCTTATATTTTATCATTTAATGTATTTTTTAATCATATGGATAGATAATCGCATTAGTCGTTCTTTCTCATAGAACAGATTTAATGCAAACCGTGTAAATTATTTATTGGAAATAAAATAATTAATTTTTAGAACAATGTTCCTTACATGAAACGTGATACTCACCAAGCAAAGTAATGTCGAAAGTAGAGAGACATCTTTTCATCGGTGTTTCTAATAAATCACCCCGCAATTTTTTCGTACGATTAAGTTTCGTATATAGTCCGGACATGACGTGCCCCAGGATCATCCGCCGCACTGACGGCATGTTAGAAATCTATGAAAATCTTAAGATAAATGAAACATTAATTTTTCTTAACATATGTTTTCTAATCATTTGATTGTTAAGAAAACTTTGTGAAAATTTGCAAAAATGTTATATGCACTAATAATTTAAAGGAATAAATCTTTATAAGCTACTATTGAAAAATATGGACATAAGTCAGTCGAGGAGAAACACAAATATTATAAAATAAATAATTGTTGATTTCAAAGATCCAAAAATGGAATGTCAAAAAGTAATAATGACATAGAAAATGTGTTAGAAAATAGAAAATGATTTTACTTACTTTTCTTGAAGAAATTTCTCTTATTTCAAAGAAAAATTTCCAAGAGCGTCACGACCGGCAATACTACGATGACAAATTCGTCAGTGACGAAGAAGCGTATGAGGACGTCGTATGGCGCCTCTGTTAACACGCAGACTCGTTCGTTCGATCGATTCAGCTGGAATAGGACTATTTACGTCATTCTACGCTTCGAATATGAATGGGGAAGATCCTTTAGCTTAGATGTCATACGTATTTGTGTGCTATCAAAAACTACATCGAAGTACCGAAACAGCGTCCATAATATAATTTATTATTGATCATTTATTTAAAAAGCTAATGATGATAGACAGCAGAAGGATACTTAATTGTTACTTTTTTTTATTATTGTGTCTTTGTATTATCATTTTTAGCACGAATATCGTGCAGATAATCTATATAATAAAGCTCGAAGAACCTTTCCATTTTGACGTGCAAGCATGTTCTAGCTAACAGGATAATAAACGTTAATGACACAAAGTAACATGAAATCTGAGTATAATTAACACTGAATTTATACATATATATATATATATATATATATATATATATATATATATATGGTATATATATATGGTATATATCAGGTATATATATATATATCTGATATTTTATTTGATATAATCGAAATGAAATGTCAACACGATAGTATTTGCGTTGCATTCGATGATAAATTTTTTTATTGCAATTAATATAATAAAAATGAAAATGAAAACGAAAATTAAAATTAAATTAAATACATAAGAAAATTATCTTGGGTATATAGAAAATAAATAATTAATTAAAATTTGCAAAAAATAAAATAAGATCTAAAGTTGAGATCGATCTTAGATTTATACTTCATTTTCATCATTCAGCTATCGCGTCGAAAAAATTTATCAATTTTATCAATTTTCTTAAATATAAATACATGTTTAAAATTAAATTTCTTACATTAAAAATAAAATATTATTAATTTTCTTAAATATAAATACATAATATATAACATAAAATAATTATTTTATTAAAAAACTATTGATTTTTCAATAATATCGTAGAGAACTTTTGGATTTTTTAATCAATGTCGATTATAAAAAGAAAATTTGCTCGATTAGACAACTATAAATTTCAAAATTCAAATCGATTTTGTCCAATTTTGTTTACTTTTAGAACGAAATATTTTAAGATATCTATTCATTTATTATTTTCCACCATGTTTTCAATTTTATTTAACAGGCCTATATGTTATGGCTTTTTTCTTAGAAAGGAAATTTTAATCATAAAAAATTACCTTATCAAGATGGCGGAAAAACTACTTTCGTTCTACTATTACCTTTACTAGATGGCGTTATTCATCGATGTGCAATGATGTATAGTGGGTGTATGTATTTCTAGGTTGATACAAACAAATAGCGGATATTTAAAATGACATCTTTTGTAAAGATCGATTTTAAATTCTTTATATGCACGTAGAAATAATAATTATAATTTTCTAAGAAACGTACAATAATATTCTAAAATCAATTTTTAATCTGTAGCAATGAGTGAATTTAAAGTTCATCATCTAATTGTGGAATTAATTGGTTTATTAGGGTGAGGATAAACTTCTGCTTATACAATTTGTAAAAATTATATTTATTTTCATTATACAATGATAATAACATTGTCATACAGTGATAATGAAGAAGATTTTATATAGTACTTTCATATTTTATTGTTTATTAGATCCACAGCTGCACCAGAAAAGTTTGTAGAAAGATTACAAAAAGAAAGTACTGTAACCACAGGAGCCTTAAACGTTATTGCCTCTCAGAGTTGTGTTCGTCGTTTAACTAAAGCTTCACCATTTCCAGAATTGTTCTTACAAAAATATGAAGAACTTAAATCTAAAAAGTAAATAATCTTACATATTTAATAACATATTTCTTATAAGTCGATAATTTAGGAAACAATACAAAGAGTTATATTTTACAGGGTAGATTTATTAGGCCCATTTATGCAACTTTTGGAATATATATCTGGAGATAAAGAATTAAGAACTTGTTTGGCAAAACACGCAACCGTATTATCAGCACCTAAAACTTCTCCTATTACAAAAGAAGACTTACCACAGGTTTGTTGTATATTTATATAAATTTATTTCTTCTATTCATATGAAGTTTTTTGTTCCTTGCTATACGTCATTTTAGCACAAATAATACTTTCTATATTACAGATTTGTAAAAATGTAATAAAGGCTGCTGTAGAAGGAGAAAGAAAATTAAATAAGCAAGTTGTTTCAGTCGTTAAAAAAAGTGATGCTGCTTTGAAACATAATTGGATAACAGAAAGACCTCGTATGTCTTGGGACTTTCATATCGAAGGAAATACAGGACCATGTCAAAGTTTGTAAATTCATACTGCTAATAATTATATTATATCACTTCAAAAGTACATATATTTTCAAAGGATCAGTAATATTTTGCAGAAGTCGTACCAATTGTATCTCAAGAGTCTATACTCCTCTGGGATGTTTTATATTGTTTGAAAGGTATAGATGGAACTTACATTGTTTCCGAACCTTTAACAAATTCTTATGGTGTTAGAACATTCAGTATATCATCTGATGTTGGTAAGGCTCTATGTATTATTTTTTGTAATTATTTAAAAAAAAATATTAATTTCAATTTGATTTAGGAATATCATTTAAACAAATGGTTCAACAAATACTTCCCTTGGCATCTTATTACTCTATGACAATTAGGTTCGTTGAAGAAAAAGTTTCATCAGAAGATGGGCAAGTGAATCATGCCTTAAGAGGAGCTATAAGATGTTTATTAAAAGATTATTTGGTAAATAATAGAAATACTATAATAATCATATATAAATATTAATTTAATAATAATTTAATTGTAATACTCTAATTTCAGTTATTTATTGTACAATTGGAAATGGAACATATTCGCAACAAACTTAATTTGCAAAAATTATGGTTCTATATTCAATCTACTATGTCCACTATGTTTATACTATCACAAATTACATCCACAATATGCAAGGTTAATGGAAATGTGCCAACTTCAATTCGATTAATATAATTTTTATTTAGTAAATATTATTTTTATTCTAACTGATATCAATATTTCTTGCTTTTAGGCAAATGCTCGAGGTGGAAAAGTATTAAGTCTTCTTCATGAACAAGCAAATAATATAAGTGGTGAACCAAAATCCAAAGAATTATGTTTATTTTTAATCCATGCAGCTAGTGTTCCTTATATGCAAATATTAGAAAAATGGGTTTATAAAGGTGTAATTCGTGATCCATATGAAGAAGTACGTATTGTATTCTTTATGATTGTTTTTATAGTATTTATTGCTTTTTTGTAATGTATATGTTCAACAGTTTCTTGTAGAAGATAATGAGCTTATTCAACGAGAAGAACTTCCTGTAGATTACTCTGCAGATTATTGGGAAAAGAGGTATACGATGAGACCAGAAAGAATTCCAATATTCTTAAGTGATCATGCTCAAACAATTCTTAGAACGGGAAAATATTTTAATGTAATCAGACAATGTGGTACGTTTTCAATTGGTTTTTTTAATAGTATATTTATATTACTTTTTATTGAATTTTTTAAATATATATAGGAAAAACAATAAAATGGGGTAAACAAGAGCCTTTTACTTATCAGCATAAAGGACAACAATATATTGCTGCAATAGATAGAGCATATTCAGAAGCAGCAAAGACTTTATTAGAAGTCTTGATGGAAGAGAATGATTTAATGGGTAGATTACGTAGCGTGAAAAGTTATTTTCTTTTAGCTCAAGGAGATTTTGTGGTAATTTGTATATTCATTAATGAAACTTATAAATTCATATTCTGTATATTGTTTATTAATATTATCTTATATTTTAAATATGTGTGATTTAAGGTCCAATTTATGAATTTGTGTGAGGCTGAATTGAACAAAAACATGTACGATATTGTTCTACATCGTATAGCATCTCTTCTTGAAGTTGCTTTACGTATGTCTACTGCTGATTTAGATCCATACAAAGATGATCTAAAGCCAGAACTTCTTCCTTATGATCTACAGTTTCAAATGTTTAGAATACTTTCTATACAGACGCGAGAAGAAAGAGGTAATTCATATTTTCATATTTATTAATCACTAATCATAATAAATATTAACAATAAAGATTATTTCTCTTTTAGAATATTGCTTTCAAGCAGATAAAACATTAACTGGATTAGAAGCATTTGTATTTAATTATGAAGTCAAGTGGCCTGTTTCTTTAATTATAAACAGAAAAGCAATTGCATGCTATCAAATGTTATTTAGACATTTGTTACATTGTAAATATATTGAAAGAATCCTATGTAGGTAAGAAAATTTTATTTATTAAATATAAAATAATTATATTGTAAACTTATACTCTTGATAAATATTGTATACACATGTTTAGAGATTATAATTATTTTAAATAATTACAAAAAATTACAGAGTATGGATCAGTAATAAAATAGCAAAAACCTTCACACATGAAGTAGCTATGGCATATAGACAGTCATTTTCACTAAGGCAACGGATGCTAGATTGTATTCAACATTTGGAATATTATATGATGGTTGAAGTTATAGAACCAAATTGGTTAACATTCATAAATAAAATGAGCAAAGTAAGTTTTAATTTTTGAAATATTTTTTCAATTATATTTTTCACTTTTCTTTTTTTTTGTTAGGTTTGTAATGTTGATGAAGTTCTTAGTGTCCATCAAGATTTACAAGATAGTTATTTAAAAGAGTGTATGCTAACAGATCCTGATCTTCTTGGTTGTATTACTGGAATTTGTGCAACTTGCATTGAATTTTGCAACTTCATGCAGGTAAGTTCATAACATATTATGTAGTTTGTATGGCTTTATTCACTTATAATATATATGCTTTTAATGATGTTATACAAACTCACACATAGTTTGTTGTTTTATTATTTGATTGATCACGCTTATAAAACAGCTATCTTTTTGCAATATGCAAAAATACACAGAATATGAAAAAAGATATTTATAGCTCATTTATTAAAACGATTCAATAATATTGCCATTATTATGACAAATATTTTTATTTTAAACGAAACAAAATACTTGTGATAACTTGGTATTGTTTGTAAAGCCACAGTAATTTTACATGGCATAGCATAGTTAAATAAGGTG